ATATGTATAGATACAATACAAAATAATTTATCGACCTCATCACCTGACGAGATGTATTTATATTTATAGTTATCGTCTCAATGATTTAAGCCTGAATAAAAACTTAGATTACTCACTTAATCTTCGTCAAAGACATGTAAGGTCACTAGTTTTTTTGATCATAAATCATAAATAATTATTATACACTTAACAATAGCTTGAAAAATGTTCCTATGTATAAAGTGTCTAAACGGACAGATTCCTATTCAGTATATAGGTACTATAAGTATAAAGTTAATTTACTAGTTAATGGTACCTAAAACTAGATCTAGTCAGGTAACTGGCAAGTAATACGAAGTCCGAGTCAGGCAACATAATGACAGGCCGCAGCGGCCGCCGGGCGCGGGCGGCACATAGCGTACGCGTAGTCGCGTACTAACCACCACGTTATATTTATGTTACAAACAAGTTAAGTCGCTCGATCCGACTGTTGAACCCTGCCGCAGAAACACGAGCTAGATCCAATAATCTATGTTTTATCTTTGTTTTTCTGTAGGCGGCAAGCGGCAGGCAGCACACTATTTCGATTAAATCAAATTGAGCTTTTATATAATAATGTAAAAAATATGTTTGTTGTCTTCATTTGAGAATTTAAAGAAATTTAATTAATATGTAGTATAAATTAGTAAATAAATTCATTTGAAGCTATTTGTTTGCTTATTAAAGTTGGTGGTAGGAGTATAACAAAATATTTGTAACTCACAAATTTGAAACTTCGTGAGCGAGTGTGTGGGTGTGTTAATTAGGTCTTTATACTGTAACAGCTAAATGGACAGATCGAAATTCGGATTAGGGATAACTTATCTTGAATTAGCTTATTAGCTATTATTTATCATTGTGCCACGTGAGTGGAGTCGTCGAAAACCTAAAAAAAAATCCTACAATCGGTCCAATCTATCCATTAAAAACAATTTATTTGCGATATATTCATAAATAAACTGATAATTTTCTACCCGTAGAAACTACGTAATAAGTACCTACTTTAAAAAAGGAAACTTAGTGCGTACAGTAAAAAAAAACAAAGCCAACTTAAATAAGTATTGCGCAAAAACTGAACATAAAGACGTAACAATGAGATTTCCACCAGCCCTGTGTACGTACCTGTGACAAATAGCATGTAAAAACTAATGAAGTCGGTTTTTAATTGCGCTGTGCTTCAAGGCAACGACCTTTAGCCAATTATATCAACAAAACAATGTAGAACCTCATTTGTTATCGTAAAACCATAGGTACATGTCGACAGTCCGTCGCGTCTGACCGGAGTCATTAAAAACGTGTAGTAGGTACTATATAATATAGGTCCGAGTACAATCTTACATACATATAGACTTTCTAATCCTTAGACACAAATATCTTAGGCAACAAAGACAAAATGCTCAAAGGCAAGCTTGATAGTACTTTAATTATAATCTTTATTTACTTTTACTTTACATTTAACACCATTCATTAAGTACATAATTTGGATAAAGTGGAAGATAAATAAGTGGAAATAAAAGCATCAATAATTATGTAGAACAAAGAAACCTTTGTTAAAGAGGAAGATTACAATTACATGCCTTGTAGTGTGCAACGCACAAGTTCTTACACGCCGCTGACTGACGCTAAGGACGTACGCAATCTCGCAAACAAAAAGATTCAATGGTGGGAATATTTAACTCAACAATACAACTATGCCAAAAACGGCATTCACACTCCGTTGCAATGTGAGAAAATATGTTTGTATAAGTACGATACATCCTATTCATACGTATTTCATTAATTATCTCCGTGTTTGATTTAAGAAATAGGAGTTCGATCGTGACGTTGTGGAACGTCTCTAATTGAAAATGCTTACAACGCCGAAGGTCGCGGTTAAGATTCTGACGTGAGGAGAGTGTTTGGGGAGGTCTGTAAAACATGCACCAATGAACAGTATCTCAATACGAAGAACACAGTAATATGTCACAAGTAGCTACTCTATATCCATCCCGCGAGCAAAGAATTTGCAATAGTAAACTACAGCTGTGAGATTGCACATAAGAGCGGGCGCACCGCGCACAGACTAGTGTTTGCCCTTTGACGAAGCGTAATGCTACTTCAGACACTTCAGCGTGGAGGTAAAACTCGTCTAATGACAGTGCTTTAAAGAATTTTATAGTGGCATTTTTATTACGATTAAACAAAAGACGCGACGATTATATTTTTCAAATACAAATTTAAATACCATAATGTAATAAAAAACTAGTAGTAATATTATAGTAATTTAGTTTATTTATAGTATATTAAAATTTACTTTACTCCTTAGTGAAATTCATTTCTAAAAAATTTTAATTAACGATTTCTCGTGATATTCCGTGAAGTGTCGTCACCCACGTACGACGGCGATGCGACGTGATATTAACGTACGAATTATGAAATTAAAAACGATAATACATTGAATATGTATAATTAAGTGACAAGAGAGTGCGACAGACATACAGCACGCGATAAAGCGATTGTAATCGTTGCCTAAAAACAAAGTCAATATCTCGATTCGTGACAGAAGCAACTTTCTCTCGGTGATTGCTCGCATCACCACGTGAATCATTTCTGCTTCAGCATAAGCTTTGTACGTGTTCATAATGATTACTCGATCACGACCACTTATATACTCGTACATACATAGGTACATATCGGTTTTTACAATTCAGTTTTAAACGGAAACTTTTTTAATAATAATAATTTTATTCATAAATCAGGAAATTGAACATAGAACAGAGTAATTTTACAAACTTTGTTTAACTTTGAACATCATCTTGTTGTCTGATGCGATTTTACTTTATGGCGCTACTTCATTGTAGGATTATAAAGAGCTTGTAAGAGCGAGCGCGTTAAGTTATAGGTGGCGCGGCATATTTACATTTTCTCTACATACATTTTTATGAAAATAGGTTAAGAGTTTTGCTATCTCTCTCTTGTGACTTCGATGAGTTACGTCGAACTAAAACCAGAATATGGAAATGTTCGATGGGCTGGAATACTTCACAGGTTTTTTTCTCGACTAGTTCGCCTTTAAAGTTGAACCTATTTATTGGCTTTAAACTTGTTATGATATCTATACCAGAATGCTAATAAAAGGAAATCGATTACGTTTACCACTAAATAATAATGTTAACGATTATACTGTTCTAATATGTATAAAAACACACGTAATGTTTTCGTGTGTAACATCGAACTATGTTAAATTAGTAGACACCGAAACTACTATTTTTAAGTTTCGAATAAATAAAACTATATTTTCCGATTTTTTTTTTGAGACTTCTCTCTCGTGACCATGATTGTTGTTAAGCATTCGAAACGTCGGGAACGAAAAATCCAAATAAATCCGCGAAATAATCCGAAAAGAGTGTTTTATATAAAATTATATACATAAATGTCAAATATTCGCGTAAATCTAAGAAAGTATTAAGTTTCAATTAATTGTAAAATCCATACTCTATATATGTCTAAGTATAATTTGTATGTATGTATTCAGCCCTTTTTTCTAACGTCCCATTGCTGGGCATGGGCCTCCCTTCAATATGAGGGGGATAGTCCACCACGCTGGTCAAGTGTCTTTCGAAAACTTACTAAGCTCTTTCAGACATGCAGGTTTCCTCACGATGTTTTCCTTCACCGTAAGGCAAGTGTTGGAAATGATTAGCACATGAAAATATCAGAGGTGCGAGACCCGGGATTTGAGCGCGCTTCACTCAGTTTCCCAACCAGCTGGGTTACCACTGCGATATATATATATATATATATATATATATATATATATATATATATATATATATATATATATATGTATAATTTACATATATAAAATGTCACAACGCTATTAAATGAGTAATAGTTTTTCATTTGTCTTACACTGGCCGCTGCAGCCGGGCTGCGAGCGTCGTGCACGGCGGTGAAGGTAGCGATTATGAATAACTACGACGTCGATGGGTTGATAACCTTCACCTGACTAAATAACAACATTTTTTGTTAGACCGTAATTTGACGTACATAGGTTTATTATAAAATATTCATTATTACTTTAGCAAATAATAGATACGTGTTAATTTTATTGATTAAGTACTACAACACTACATTTTTCAGGCTTTAAGTGCATTTTATACATATCTTTAACGTTCTGTAACTTTTAACCGTTCTCTTAGTATCGATTTAAGTCACTCTAACTACTCACTGTAGCTACTCTACGTGACTCTAGCTACAGATCCCCGTAATTGTCAAAATTTAGAAAGGATCTACACTAAAATAATAAAAATAGAGTAAGGTTAAGGTGAGGCAAAAGAGTAAGGTTTGGATGTAAGAGGTATTCTCAGAAACTAATGATCCGCTTCTGAAAATCTTTCACAAATCGGAAAATACGTTACTCTTCCTCACACTTCATCAAAAAGGTGGAGGTTCTCAAATCGGCTGTATGTTTTTTTTTATGTTTGTTACCTCAGAACTCCGTCATTTATTAACCGAATTGGACAATTTTTGTTTTGTTTGAAAGTGTATACTTCCAGATGAGTCCAATTTAAATTATACCATACCATACCATACCACCCCTAAGGGTGGAAAAATAGCTAATGATGAATTTAATCTACTTCTAATTGTCATATTGACAGTGTTTCAATTGTCGGCCGATACTAAGCAAAGCACACCGACTTCGAAAATATTTGATTAGGTATGTATAGTAAATGAAAACTACCAATCAGTTATTCTTTACTTTTTAGTGCTTTTTTTGAAGTAGGTTATTATTTTTTTGTTAAAAAGTTTTTTATTCCGATAAAAATGTGTTTATTGTTAGAAATCATAATAACTTTAGTTCAAGTCTGAAATAACTATCCGTGGACGTGCTCTATTGGCGTGCGATGTCTACATGGTTTGAAAATTATGCAATAAAATGTATGGCAAAAAGACACGTAGGGACGAAAGCAGTCGCTAATGTTGCTAATAGCGAGACTCACCATTTTAGCGAGCATGGTGTCCATCTGCGGCTGGTGCGCGGCCGTGAGCAGATGGCGAATCCTGGAGGCGTTGGCCACGCACTGCGCCATGCAGCGCTGCAGCGCGGCGGCCTGGCGGACCAGCGCCGCCGACAGCGGCACCTCGCCCGAGCCCGCCGCGCTGCGCAGCACGGACTCCAGCACGTGCGCGTGCTGCGACACGTAGTCCAGGCAGCGGCGCAGTTCCACCGCATCGCGCTGTTGGCGGTCTGTGTCGTGGATTGTTTCAAATATAATAACTGCTTATTTTTGTTGTTATAGCAATTATCATTATCAACATATAGTTTTTTTTTAATTCCATTGCTGAGCTCTGGCCTCCAATATGAGACAAGCCAGAGCAATGGCATATAAACCTTAGTAATAAGTAATTCTTATGATTTTACCTCCGTGTCTTATTTGTCAATATTTAGGGCACATCACACATTATATAACAAAATATATAATTAGACATTATATAAAATAAACAAAATTAGATATATAAGGACTAAATACTAAGGTAAAAATAAATATGAAAATTCTTCTTGCAATGGCAAAATAAAGTAATGGGAACATTAAATTTTAGTGATAAAGAACACTGTAGTGTAGACATTTGGAAGAAGTCTTACAAAATATTTAGGCACTACTGGTGTTTACTTCATATGACATGATTAACATGACCTATTTTTTTCTTCCTTTAACCGAACAAAGTTTATGCTAGTTCATAATAAAATTATAAAGAACTAAAAATTATAGAGAAGACTTGTGAACAAAGATTTTATTTCTACATTCTAATTCTTGTATAAACTTTATAAATGATTGATCCTTAAGACATTATCAAGTTCTTATTAAAATAATAAAAATATAAATTAAAAAGGAAATATATAAATAAACACATCCTAATTTTAAAATTACAAGTACTAAAAAAATTTGTTATTATTTCAAATAAAAAATAAAATACCTTTATAAATTAGCAAAATAACTATTATATACTAAATCTTTATTAAATAACGCTTCAATGGATTAAAATTTGTATCTATATCCAATGAAACATTATATGTAACAATTAGTTGAAATTGTTAATTAGTTGAATGTAAATTGCAAAATATTAATAGAATACCATATAAATATACTTGTATAAATGGAAAATTTGGATACATTATTCAAAGATTAAATATTATAAATACCAAATATTAGAAAAAAATAAGAACAAATCATTGAATAAGAGCTCCATAATATAGTTACATTGTATTCAATTGTTAATAGTTTCAAAACGTGTTTACTTACATTTACTAATTATCTAATACTGATATTTTGATAGTTAATTGTTGAATGATGTAGAGAAATTAAGAAATTATTTAAATTTAAAATAATAGGAATATTTAAGATAAAGTATTATTTTGTTTATTAACTTGAAATACGACAAAAATTATAATCGATCAAATCCGTTTTAAAGAAACATATTTGATAGATTCAAAAATTCAAATAATCAGTTAATGTTTAAATGAACTTTTTACCATGAAAATCATAAATTCGTTGAGTTCTTCTCTGGTATTTTTCTTCCTGAAGCTGTCTATCAGCCTGGGCTTGCTTTTCCCGCGCCTCTAGGACCTCTAGGAATGAAGAAAATAGAGATTTCCTCTCGTTTGTGTTTGTAACGGTTTCTTGCATCTTTATTTTTATTTAAATATCTCAGACAGTTAACTAAGATAAGCAGCGAATTAGCAAAAAGGTATATATAATTAATGGAATATACACCCTTTTAATACAGAAAGGTTTTTTTAACTAAGAAAGACCTAACTAAATAGAAAAGAAATTTAAATCACACAACCACTCACAACTCTACACAGGCAACAACTGACAAGTGACAAAAGTCAAAACAAGCGGTAACGAATATGACACGAGCGCCAAGTTGCAAAAAAGATTAAATTGCCAGTTGCAAATAAGATTTACTCGTTAAACTCGTAAAACTCGTTTTTTTTGTATTCGGTAATAATAAATTATTATTTTAACGATTCCTTCGAACGATATTACCTTATCTTGGTCTTTAAGATTGTTCGTTTTACGTTGATATCTTTGAAAGTATCATTGTTAAAATTCTATAATAATGTAGCTATATAGAGAAGTTATATTTCGAATAGTTGTTATAACAAATAACCATTTAATTATAAAAATAAGTACTATTCCTGAGATTTATTTAAATTTAAAATTTAAGACTAATTTCAACAAAATTTTCAAAGAAACTGATAAGTGAAAAATATAAATAGTCGTTATGAATATGAGAATCTTTAAGCTCATTGGTGGAAATAATGTTTATTGAGTAAATAAACATAGAGAACAAACCCACGATGAGTGTTGAAAATTGAACGATCGTAGCGTTTCTGTCAATCATTGTGCGGCTGTCAAACTTTCAGCTTTAAAATTATCTAAAATATTAAAAGTAGGTAAATTTCTGATAAAATGGCCCGTGAAAGCAGTGCGGGATTTGATAGACACATAACTATCTTTTCACCTGAAGGTCGATTATACCAAGTCGGTAAGTGCTTTATTTGTAAACCAAGTAATAACCATATTTTAATTTGGTTTCATTTCAGTTTAGATCTTTTGTTTCTATAAGTAATTATTAAAAATATATATACACTTTACGAAAAATGTGGTCTACAGTAAAACTTTCGTTTATATTTTCATTAAGCTCATCGTTTTAAACTTTCATATCCTTTTGTAGAATATGCATTAAAGGCAATTAACCAAGGTGGTCTTACGTCGGTGGCTCTACGAGGAGCCGATAGTGCAGTGGTAGCTGCTCAACGGAAGGTTCCAGACCGCCTTTTAGACCCTGCTTCAGTTACACATCTTTTCCGTCTGACAGATCGTATAGGATGTGTGATGACAGGCATGACTGGTAATATCATCATACATTTTTTTGTCATTAATTTACATTGCCACAGATATATCAGCAAAATATGATATGAACAATCTTTAATTTCAAGAGATAATAAGTAAATTGGTTTTTCTACCAATAATCTTGTTAAAATGATGAAATTTAAAATTGTTTTTTTTCTTATTTATGTTAGAAATATATAGCTCCAAAACATTTGAGTTTTCAATGTATTTAGAGATTATAATAAAAATACTTTATATAGCAATAAGTACCGATAGTATCTTGACTATTTAAACATTAACTTTGCTATTATAATCTTTACATTTTTCATGCATAAAAACAATTAAAATAAAAGCTTAGAAAACTTTTGTTATTTGTAAAACTGAAAATTAATAATTTATTCCATTGCTGATATTTTGAAATATTTCATACCTTTATCTCACACATGTAGCGGACAGCAGATCTCAAGTGCAAAGGGCACGCTATGAAGCGGCTAACTGGACATACAAGTATGGCTCAGAGATACCTGTTCATATCCTTTGCCGTCGCATTGCTGACATCTCTCAAGTATATACACAAAATGCAGAAATGCGTCCACTTGGCTGCAGTAAGTGTATTGACTTAAATATTTTTATTTGATTGATATTTTTTACATGGTAGAATTTTTAATCATCGTAGTTACAATAATATTATTTAATCATGTGATCAAATAATATTTTTGTAACTGGGCTTATTGAAGTGTCTACTAAGTGCTACAGTATCCAAAAGAAAATTGTGTATTATGTCTGTGGATCGTATAGTATCTAAAGTTGTAATGCATAACATAGTCTTACTATAAAACTTTCTAATTTGAATGTTTATTTACAATTTTTACCATGTTCAATATAAAGTTTCAAATTATCTTGCAAATGTAAGTCTGACTCTCATACAAGGTTACATATTACCAAAGAGTGTATATTTTCATTTACACCTATGTAATTTGTTAGTGCAGCAGTAAAATAAAATATATGCATGTAATGTGATGATGCGCGGTGTGTGTCAGGCATGATGCTGGTGGCGTACGACGCGGAGTCGGGCGCCAGCGTGTACAAGACGGACCCTTCGGGCTACTACTGCTCGTACGCGGCGGCGGCGGCGGGCGCGAAGGCCACGGACGCCAACGCCTACCTGGAGAAGAAGCTGAAGAAGCGCGCTGCGCTGTCCGCCGACGACGCTGTGCAGCTCGCCATCTCCTGCCTGTCGCAGGTGCTCTCTGTGGACTTCAAGTCCTCCGAGATAGAGGTGGGCCTGGTCTCCAAACAGGACCCCTACTTCAAGTGAGTTGACTTATTCAAATACATGTTTACAAGTGATTTTGGTTTGTGATTTTTTATACATAATTTCAGTATTAATAGTCCTTAAAGAGATAATTATTGTTACAAGTTCATTTTATTTGTTTAAATTTTAACACCATGAGTTTCAATTAAAAATAGATTCTGAAGATTTTATATTTGTTTCAGGGTTTTGACTGAGACTGAGATCGACAGACACCTTACTGCTATTGCTGAAAAGGATTAAGGGGAAGGGATACATGCTGTTAACACTATACTAATTTTTTAATTAAAAAAATGTCTTAAAACATTCTTTTATTTATTATAATCTATTGTGTCTACAAAATTAAAATTTATTTTTATAAAAAAATATTCGATTTTATCACAGTATAAAAATCCATATAGTGGACGATTGTCTATTGATTTTAACCATAGACATAGAAAGTGGACTGAGTGTTTCATTGCCAGCCGTCAGCTAAGCATGGTGGATAAGCGCGATAGAGACAACGAATGAACGGCCAGATGTTTTCTATATTAATTAAAATACGATTAATGAAAATAGATATTTATAACCATATTATATTCAACTAAAATATCATAATTTTCAATAATATTACAATTCTTTTAAATTCCAATTATAAATTCAAATTGGAATAAAAAGCAGCTATTGGCCGCACGTTCGCTTTTTCTCTTTCTAGAGAGTGGTCAATTTCATTTGAGTACTGCTCAGTCCAATCTCAATGTCTATTATTTTAACAGAACTGCAAGAGTTGTCAAAAATAGGTATTAACTTTCCTGACGTATCCAAATTAAGGCATTGTAGTGCCATCTCGTGGCAAGTTACAGTTATACCCGTCAACCCTAAAACTGTTTTTTTTAACTTATTTAATGTAAATTTAAGTATGATAATGGGGTGTGCCTCACCAGCGTTTTGCGCTTGATTGTCCTGTTTAGACCTCGTTAGATGACTGTATGGATTTGTAGACTGTGGTTTCACTGAATGTTTAGCTCCGTCAACATCCCCTCGCGGCCCTCGCGCACGCCGGCGAGCGCCGCAGCCGGCATCTCGTGCACCACGGCCGTGAAGTCTTTCACGTTGCAGCAGAAGGAGAGCCCGTACAGCGCGCTCTCGTAGTTGCGGTGCCGCTTCAGCTCATGCAGCCACGACACGGCGCCGCACGCGCTCTCGCAAAACACTGCCTCCCTGATCTCGCTGACCGCCACAAAGGGGTCGTTGAGCACCACCACGGCCAGCGCGCGGCCGCCCGCCGCATCGTGCGCCACCGTCCACAGGTAGCGCGGCACGGGGAAGCGCGCCGCCTGCAGGAACACCTCGCGGCGGCCGGCGCGTAGCGCCAGCGTGCCGTGCGTACCGCTGTACACGTGCAGCGCGCCGTGCGGCCGCCATAGCTTCATGAGCCGCGCCACGTCGCGCTGCAGGTGGCGCAGGTTGCCGCCCGCCACGCTGCGCCACACCGCCACCTTGTTGGACACGAAGTCCGCCACCCGCATGTTCTGATCGTCGAAGTAGTGGCCGCTGAGTAGTTTTCCCGCGGTGATGGTTTGCTCCGCGAACGAGAACTTGTCGTGTTTGAAAATTTCGTGCAGGCGTCGGTTCATCCTGACGTCGTCGGAGTACAGTTTCTCGGCCACGTGCCTCGTCTTGGAGTCGAACATGTTGTTGAAGTTCCCGAATAGGGTGAGCGGGGCCCGCTGGTCGGGGTGCGGCGGCAAACGCAACGTGTTGGCGGGCGCGTTGGAGACGTGTGCGAAGGTGGCCACGGCGCGGTCCTCGTCGAAGCACAGCGTGGCGACGTGGCGCGTGCTGCCGTCCTCCTGCAGCTGGTAGGCGCGGCCCTGCAGCGGCGGCGCGCAATGCTCCACCTGAAAGCGATCGCTCGTTAGTTTATAATGTTGTCTTTATCGCTATGGGTAAATACATTTCCCAAATAAAAAAAAATTCGAGTTTAACTCAAAAGTGTAGTATACTATTTTTCACGCCGTTTATTTACTTTTAACGTTCTTGGGCAGCGACATCTATTGATAGTTTTAGAACTAAATTTAACCATCACTTCACTGCAACGTTTTACAAGATTAAATAGTCAATTGATGAGGTCTGTCTACTGAAACCTATCCGAATTACCTACATAGAATTGAGTAACGGACATCCAAATATTACATTTATAATTTAAATGAGAAATAGCTTAATGAAAGCAAGATACCGTATGAAGGACATCTTCAAATACGTCTTCCTGACAGCCCAGCTCGAGCAGATGCCTGAGTGCGGCGTCGCCGGGCACACGGTACCTGCCCGCGTCGCACTGCGCGGTGACGGCGGCGCGCAGCGGGTAGGCCAGCAGGCGGCCGGCGCCGCACGACAGCGACACCTCGTCGCCGTGCGGCACCAGCACGGACCCGTTGCTGGCGCGGTGCGACGTCACCAGCGGCATGTGGTCCGGCACACACTCCGCACACTCCAGCTCGATCACGCATGGTGCTGGGGAGTGAACTAGCCAATGTTAGAATTGCCCCGGGTATAATTATTTTAGTATTCTGTTAGTTTAATTTCGACGGTCTTCTACGCGCCGATATGACCTATGTAGGTACCTAATCAAAACTTGCGAGTAGGTTTTAACCTATTTATAACTTACCCTTTGGATTTCAAAATTGAAACTAAATATGTGAAATCCGAATAATAATTCAATAATTTAAAACCGTCAAAGTGATCTGATGATAGAGCCAGGAAGTGATCAGTGGAACTCTAGTCCCTAGATTTCTTCAATAGATACTCGTAAAACCGATTGTAAACCAACTGAGGCATTTGATTATTTTGACAAGTGCCAAGGTACGTTAAAGTTGGATAAAAGCATTTTTTTAATAGGGTCATTTTTAATTCACTGAAAACCTTTTGCGAATATACTATTTACATCATAACAACATCTGTAACAAAGTCTGGCCAAGTTTAAATAAGTAAGCGCGGCTTCCTACACCCCTCCCCCTCCACCGGATACGCACTTTCTTTTGCTAATGCTGAACTATTACCGTTGAGAAGGTGCAATAAAAATATTTATATTTTTGTTAAATTTAGGATATTTTTTTTTCTAACAGATGTTGTTATGTTGTAAGTAGTGTATTCCCAAAAGGTTTTCAGTAAATTAAAAAATGACCCTGTATAAAAACTAAAAGATAGATAATATACGAGTAGTTGATAAGTAGATACATACTCGTAGGTCATCGTATTGTTCGTCGTAGTGTCCGATACACTTAGTCCAAATAAGGAGTACGCTATATGTATTATTTGTTAATAGATGTAAGAGATTTATTACAATAGATATTTTAACCGGCAACTCACTTTCAGTAGCTGTAACCCACTGCAAAAATGCAAATGAAAAAACGACACAATTTTTCCAATCCATTGTCGTCGGAACACTAGGGCAGAACGCGGCGGCGGCGCTCGATAGCGGCGGCGACTCCTGACCCCGCGATAACCCGTACACATGACAATAATATTTAACTGTCTTTCGACTGTCCCCAATTAGAGGAAATGAAAAGATACTATGTTTCCTAAATCTATTCTACGTATAAGTTTTTATTATTTTACAAAATATATAATTTTACAAAAATCTGAACTTAGAGAGCGATCAAAAATTATTAGCATTTTTGTTTTGTTTCTTTGCATTTCATAAAGGGTTGAGTAGATACAAATCCTCGTGTACTTTATTCATATTATACTTCTGTGCTAGAATTGTATTGTAGTACCTACTAACAGTAGTAGGCAGTGATAGCCCAGTGGTTACGCGCTCGCTTGGGAAACCGAGTAAAGCGGGTTCAAATCCCAGCCATCAATTCAAGTCTCGAACCTCTGATAATTTTCATGTGCGAATCATTTCTAACATGATCCACCACTTGCCTTACGGTGAAAGAAAACATCTTGAGGTAACCTGCACGTCTGAGAAAACCATGTGAAGTCCGCCACGCCGCACTTGGCCAGCGTGGTGGACTATGGCCTGATCCCCTTCCTATTGAAGGGAGGCCCGTGCCCAGCAGTGGGGCGTTAATAAGGGCTGAATATATATCTACTAAGTGTTTTGTATTTAGTACTATAGTCCATACTTTACTATTAAGATTTCCTTTTAATAATATCTATGTGTTTTAAGCTAGCTAGCTATGTGTTTTAAGCTAGCTAGCTAACTTAGCTTTCGAAGAGTCCATTCAATACAGATATTGGTGATTCTACGTATCAGGGCCACGATTTGAAGGATGATTCGCATAGATCTCGACAAGATATGCCGAAAAGTAAAAATAAAGTTTTCGATATCTCGCTTAGTTTTCGAGATATCGATACTCAAAAATCGAAAATAAAAAAAATGCTTTTTTTGACGGTATTTGATATATTTTCGAAAAAACAAATGAAAATTAAGAATTTTTTTTTTTGATATCTTGATTAGCTTTCGAGATATCGATACTCGAAGATCTGAAAGGATGGAAATTTTATTTAGAAAAAAATATTATAAAAATTTGATAGATAAAAAAATAGAGATAGCTATGCCATTTTCGCGATGTTTTGAATTTGTGATCGTCAAAGTTTCCATTTTGAACGCATTTTGAGTGTATTTCAAATACCGTCAAAAAAAGTAAAAAAAAATGAGTAGGTATCGATTCTCGGAAACTAAGCAAGATATCGAAAATGTTCATTCTTACTTTTCGGCATATTTCGTCGAGATCTATGCGAATCCGCCTTCAAATCGTGGCGCCGTAGGAACCGTAGACGTGCCCAGATATTATCTGCAGTCTCATTGCAATTTGCAACAGTTGTAGTTAGGAATTGTCAAAGAATGTAAATGAAACAATCATGTACCATAGGTTGTTTATTATGAACATAATATACAATGCCGATGTTTATTTATAAAAGCGGGTAAAAACCGACGAGACACATACACCGTACGATAAAATAGTCATATATAATCAACGTATAAGTCCATAAGTGTATAATGCTTGCTATACTTCACTTAAATAATTATCTAAATATGTTTAGTCTAATTTAGTAAATCTTCTTCATCCTCCTAATGACTAAAGGAAATTTCGGAACAAATCGGCAAAATTTGATTCAAACGAAAGCTAAGTACATTGTCATTGGATTTTTTATCAGACTATAATTTTTCAATGTTAAGTACTTGCCACATTACAGTGAAGCCAAGTGCCAATGTTCGGAAGAATAGTTATTTTACTAAATTAAACTATGAGTAACTGTGTAGCGTATACAAAAACGTTCTCGTAAGTACAGACTTAGTTACAGACGGTACGGCGGCCCGCTGCGGCCACATCCTCCGATACCGTGGCCCGCTGCGGCCGCAACATCGTCCGATGTCCAAACATTCGCCAAAGCGTCCACTTTCGACATATTAGTAAAATAAATTATTGATGACCGAAGTTAGTATTGCGTAGTTATTTTTTTACAATGAAAACAATACTACAATAATATGTTGAACACATTTCATACCATCTGCATACAGTCGTTGTGGAGAGTTATTGCACACGAATTATCCTAAGTCTACGACTCCAGACACCGAACACGAGTAAGTTTACCGAGACGCCGCTCTCGCTAGTACCAGCGTCTCGCTAGTTGCTACAAACAAGCGAACAACGTTAGTCATTAGTAACCAAAAGCGACACTAGCGATGAAGACATAAAATTGGATCACATACGGTGAAGAGACATGAACATCTTAAGAGTGCTAATAGAAGATAGAAGAAGTAAATAAGATACTATACATAGTATTAAATGACTATATAGACATAATCGAGCCGGCGCACACCGGTCCGCGACTAGACGCGACCTCGGCGACACTCCGCACTGTGCACCGTGGGTCTGTGGCAGGAGCGTACACCTCAAACTAGAAGAGTAACAACTACAGGACACAGTTTATCAGTGCCAGACTTTCTAACTTTTTGATATCGGAATAGGCTCTGGTTCGATTACAGAGGTGAAGTTATCGAAGAATTTTGGGGAACTCACATTCAGAATATAGCTGAAGGTTAAAATCATACACTTTTATTGTTCTATATGATCTGCATATCTTATAATTTTACTGTTTATATCCTTATTTTTATATTGAGGGAAAATGAAGCGTGCTTTCAAAGCGCGAGTGATCGTCGGCAGACTGTTTTAAAGCATCACCTCGCTAGCAGCGGCGCTGCATAGCAGGCATCAACGCTAATACGCTGAACCAACTGATGTGCCAAATAAAATGAGGCCAGCATATAATGTGGTATAACAAAAAAAATATAGGTGTAGCGTTTATAATATCATCAATTATTTTATGAGCTAGACTATGTTACACTAAGCATTTAAAATTTAAAACATGCTCAACAATTCGGTGTAAATTGTTTATTAGTGAAGGTGATGCTTTAAACACACTATATATATCTACATTGGAAGAGGTTATATACATCAAAATATTTAAAAAATTACACTTCCCACAACTACTCCTACTTGAAATCAATGGGTCGCAGAAGTAAATTATAAATCTCTTATGCTTGTTCCAATCACTTACAAGTAATAATAATCGATATTTTAACTGAGAATATAGATGATACAAGTGCGCAGCGCACTGCAGCACTCACCGCGCCTGCCGCCCACGCCCGCCACCTACGTACACAACCCTACTTCTACGTACTTTACATTCATTGATCGTCTTTAAAAATTACAAGCAAGTTAATATTTGATTGATTACAATATTAACAGTATATTTCTGTAAGTTCATTCACATTATTTGATTTAAATTAATTAGTAATTAAGACAACATTGTAACTGAGAGTTAACTAATGTATAACAATAATCTGCAATAAACCTCATATTTGTGAAAAAAAAAAAAATTTCCTCTGATTATATTCACCTAGTGAAAGTTGAAAAAACAAAACACAGCACTGCATATTGCACATCACTATTCACTGGCATGGTGTGATATGGTGAGGGTGGTGAGGGTGGTGGTGTGGGTGTGCCAGAGCTTAGGAGCAGCAGGCACGTGCAGGAGGCGCGCGCGAGGGGCGGCGCTCCACGGCGATGCGCGCATGGTCTGCGTCCGCCTCGCGCCCTGCAGACTTATCCAGGATGGCCTCTGCCAGCTCGGAGAAGGCCCGGTCTATATTTATGTTGGACTTTGCTGATGTCTCCATGAACCGGATACCGTGCTCGTGCGCTATCTGTAATATGGCCATGTATTATATGGGTGTAGAAAGTAGCAACTAATAAGTAATATTTTTTATTATTTTAACATTAGCACACTAGTGTTGTATATACAAAGACTATATTTTAATCAATTTATGAATAAATTAGATATTCAGATCATGTCATATAATAATGAAACCATAATCCTACATTGCTAAAGTAGTACAATATCATATACATACAAAGTAAAGATGATTTGCATAAACATTGTTAAGTAATAATAAAAATGAGGAGGTACTGTCCACTTCATTGTTTATACCACATTGAAGGACAATTCACATGATAGATGCCATTATGCTTACACAAATATATTTAAAAATAACAAATTTATAATTTACAAACAATTGTATATAATTAAATGTTAAAGTTACTATAGTTCCATGTATGGATAATTGACAATATCTTAAAAGCGTAAATCTCTATCTATATCACACTTATAATTAATCTTGATTTAAATTTAAAAGTTAAATTGCCAGAAAAATATATAAAAACTGAAGATTTATAAAAAAATACTTGTTTACATCAAAAGTTGATTAACCTAGCATTGTTATTGTTAACAGGAAATATCTCAATTTGACAAATGCAAACCCAATTGTAGAGATCATAAAGACTAAAATAGACATGTGAGTAATAAGAAATGTAGTGGTGGAACATATTACATGAGTCACATAATGTAATGTCAGTAAATACTGTTAATTACCAGTTTCTAGCTGTTGATTAATAGTTCACATCAATTATATTTATTTTTTAACAGCCAGTAAACAACTTGTTAAAAATAGGCAACAATTGCAGTATTTTCACCATTTTCATAGAATTGTTTATTTATTATATTGTATTTATTTATATTTAATATTATTTTTTATTATATATTATACAACTTCACAATATATCTCTTTCGAGAATAACCTAATATGACCTTTAAGCTTTTGTTTTTCAGAAAATATAACATTTAGTGTTTATATAAAAATATGGTGTTTCATGTGTACTTTAACCAAATAGATAATTTAAGATTTATACAGCCTTATTGTGAACAAAGAAAGAACAAACAACATTATTATTATCGATCAACAACAGAAAGTCATTGTTCTGATGGTATAATGAATCACATACCTAGTAATATTAATATTTCTATAAAAAATTAAGAAATTACATATGTTGCAACAACAACAAAGTATTCTGTTTTCATCATTATATATGGCCATAAATAGTAACCAGATGTGAGAAAGGAAGAAAACTCAATGTTATACTTACGGCTTCTCCCCTCTCTTTACTAACAACACGTTTTTCTTCCATGTCACACTTGTTTCCTAATATCATCTTCTCAACATCTTCATTGGCATGCTACAGAAACACAATTCAAATAATTAGTATTTTAAATAATATGGAATACTATATATACTTGGGTACTAATTTAAAATATTGAAATATATACCTCATCTATATTTCTTAACCATTTAACAATATCATCAAATGTTTTTTCATTTGTTATGTCGTAAACCAACATTATCCCCATTGCACCACGGTAGTATGAAGTAGTGATTGTGTGGAATCTTTCCTGACCAGCTGTATCCCAAATCTGAAGTTTAATTTTCTTTCCACGAAGTTCCACTGTTTTGATTTTGAAATCTATACCTACAGAAATGAAATATAAAACTATTATAACCAAAATAAGAAACATATTAGTAACTGAACGAATTTCTTTGACCATCATAAATAAACGTGGGTGAAACTGGTAAGCAGAAATAGAAAATATTCATACAAATAAAAAATGACTAACAAGCAAATAATAAAATGTTAAATGAATTTATACAGATATTTAGATCTCTATTGCTTCATTTTTTAACTCCAGTTACTTTGGACGAGTGAAATTAACACGAAAACAAAATTATAAAAATGGTTTAGATTCATACCAATAGTTGAAATAAATGTCGTTGTGAAATGGTTATCTGAAAATCTAAACAATATACATGTTTTGCCAACGCCAGAATCTCCAATCAGAAGAAGTTTAAATAACAGATCATAGGTTTTCTTAGCCATTTTACTAATTTATTTGCAAAAAACGAAGCTACTTATCAAAAATTCATACGATCAAAAATGTGACAGCTTGATATTTCACTATTTCAGTAATCAGTCATGAATTTGCAATTGCCCTAGCTAAATAATAATAAAAAGAAGTATATTCTTATATGGCAACCATAAAATTTGATTTCTATATAAAGGTACATGTACATCTGTTCAACAATTAGTCCAAAGAGTATAGTTATAAACTGAATTAGTCGAAGCAACGGATTATCGAAGCAACATTGTTCAACAATGTTGTTTGTTCAACATTGATCAACGTCTGTTGCAGCAACACATTCGACAGTTCCATTTTACATACGTTCTACAGTTGTATTATACAGTCATGTATACCGGACAAGTCGTTGCTGCTGCGGCTTTCTTAATTTTGAATGAAACTATTCGAAAAGAGAAGAGAAAAACACGATGATGGACACAAGCAATGTATAAAAATGGATGCAGAAATAGTAAATAACAGCGGATGTTGAAGCATTCGAAGTTGAGCATTATGATGCGCTTTGGTGCTGTAATTGGAAAAGTACTATTATTACCCAGGCTATCACAGTTTAGCTGTAACATTTTTAATAGTTTGTGGTTTAGCCTGAGTAATCATTAAAATTACATATTGTTTTAACATTGAAAATGTTTTTTTTTGTCGCTTTAGTATAGGCCCGATTTTTAGCGAAAGTGCGACATCGCCCTGGTGTCGTGGATTTTGGGACTACGTGGTTGATTGGGATGTTAAAAGATGCGTCTGAATGAGGGCTACAAAATGCAAAAAAAAAATTGAAAACACTTAAAGGCTTTTTTTAAATCGAAAAAATGTGACAAATGCGGTCGCTTTTCGCTCGGTTTCGGTCAGAAAATAAATCATATCTCGAAATGAAATAAGTTATCGAAAAAATAAATAAAATCCCCTAGAGATATGACTTCAAACTACATTGAAAAAAATATTGGAGATTCATATCACTGATGGTTATTCAGAAGTTGTACCTTTGTGACATGTCATCCATGCTTTGTGACGCTGAGTTTACGCGAGGAGAGTGCGTGAGCGCGATAATGACGGTGAATAAACGTTTTGGAGCATGATTTTGTTTTTGAACCGGAGTGATTCTTTGTGAATAAATAAACAATAACTAACTAATATTTTTATATATGTATAGTAAAACAGTAACTAAGCGAAATTTATACATGAAATATTTTTTTAAACAATGACTGTAACGTATCGTGTTTTAAAGACCCCAAAACAATGATTATGTAAAAAAATGTCTGTTTGTCTGTTTTCTGTATGTTTGTCTGTTTGGATGTGCGCGTTTCACGAAAAAAGTATTTAACCGTATTTAACTAAATTTCGTGTACCGATAACTTATTACTCGGGTTAGGATAACCAGCTACCACCATACCAAATTTCATCAAAATCCCTCCAGTGGTTTTTCTGTGATGCGGTAACAGACAGACAGACAGACAGACAAAAATTCTAAAAACTATAGATTCGGCCTCTGTATCGATAGTAATGACTATTTCAATAAGATTTTCCAAAAAATATTTAATGTATAGTCTGTCAAGAAAGTCATGAAAAGAATGTTTTGGGAACTACTGCTTTTCTTAAAACTGACAACACTGAATAATTGACAAACTAGGTACCTTAACTGTCACATCGTAGCTTTGTGGTTGATGTTTTACAATATTTTTGTAATAATTCGAGTTTTTTGAATCGTGTGATTCTTTAGAGACAAAAAATGAATCGAAATGTTTATAAGAGCAGTGCGAGACAAATTATATTTAAAGTTTTTCAAGGGTGTATGGCCGAATTTCAAGCTGGGATGAACGAAGACAATGTTTACGGTCGAACAGCGAAGTTAACCGGTACGTAAATATGTTTTAATGTTAAACACGTTAAAAGAAATATAATCTCTTGGTACTCATCTGTTTTATAAGTTTAATTTATCTATTTTTATCTTTGTTTATATTTCGTTGAGGTTATGTTTTTTACCTACGATTTAACTCTCAACGGTTTTGATACTTTTGTGTTATTTATTTAGATATGCTTAAGGTATTTAATTTTAAGTTAAATTTAAGTTATTTAACATGTCTTTATTGATTTCAGGTGTTTCCGAAAGCACAATTCGGCGCATAGTAGACGAAGGTTTTAAGAATAGAGGTAAATTTTCAACACCTGGAAAACACAGGAAAGGCCGACCTACAAAACACATCGATGATTTCGATATATGTTCCATTCGTCAGAAAGTTCAGTTTTTCTACTACACAGTGCAGAAAGAAGTACCAACACTAAGAAAATTATTAGCAGTGGTGAAGGAAGATTTAAATTTTGATGGCAGCTATGAACTCCTTCGAAAAATTTTAATTTCAATTGGCTTCAAATTTAAGAAATGCCAATCAAATAGACTAGCCCTCATAGAAAAACCAGCAATTGCTTCAAAACGTGAGTATTATTTAAGGCACATCCTTGAAAACAGAAGACTGCCTGAAGAGCTCCAAAAAAACATAATTTATTTGGATGAGAGCTACATTTCGGGAGTCGAATATCTCGAGTCTGATTATTTGGATTCTGATTAATAAAGAAATATCTAATAAGCTAAGCATTTTTATTTCTCACTATACACACATTACATTATATTCTAATTTACAAATTTATATAAATCAGGTAATAAACATCGCAAACAAACTACAATACATAATTATTAGGCACCAGTTAAAATCTAATGTCTTTGGAATACTCGTAGAAATTAGTTGGAAGGCTAATGTTGTTCACCACTACCAATAAAAGTCATAACTCTTTTTGTACCCTGAGTCAGAGAGTGAGATAGATATCTGTCAGATAATCCACATGACAGTAAAGTAAATAATAATAAATCAGTAAATAATTCTAAGCCATTACGAAAAAAAATATCAGTAAATGCATAAAATATATAAAAAAAGTATCAAAACCTTTTAGTCGAAATTTATAGGATTACCATGTTAATGTTGGTGGCGCCCTCCTTTTTTTTCATGACTTTCTTGACAGACTGTACAGATTCGGCTTAGTAATTAGAATTTTATTATAAGTATAGATTTAGTCTGTAAAATTGTTGTTGTTATTTGTTTCTGGTCTGTGGAGTGTGGGAAAAAATTATATTTTATCTGTGGAGGTGCGCGTCGTGTTTTGCGATTTTCGTTTGCGTCTATTCTTTCATTTTATTGATTCAGAAACTTTGAGATCAATACCTGCGTCTTGTGTTAGCACAAAGAAGCAGTGAAGAAAATGTGATGATAAAAATTAATAGTGACTTGTTTTATACATAATAGTGCAAGGAAGTAGGAGTATTAAGATGCATCGACGAGGCGGGAAACGCATCCGAATGGATGACCCTCCTCCGGAGTATGTAAATCCTATGACTCCGGCAACACCCATGACTGATTATGGAGGACAGTCTATACATGAACCGGAAACACCGAATGTGAATTATTCTGGATTTAATGTGGGCGCCGTAGTTAATTCTACTATGGCAGAGGCCCCTCGAGAGGAAATTGAAGAGCATCATGAAGAAGAAACTAGATCGCCATCACCAGCTCCAACGAAGCGAATAACCCGTAGTAGGGGCCGAGGTGGAGACGGTGGTTATGTGGGGCGGCTAGCAGAGTCCCCTCCACCACCACCGCTGCGTAGACGTGGACGTGGTGGGAGAGGACGAGGCCGAGGAAGAGGTGCTGCGCCACCTCCCGCATATTCACCTCCACCAGTTCTTTTACCTGGGGATGATGAAAACAGTCTCTATAACATTCTGCGGTTCAATAAGACTGCAATCAATGTAAGTAACAAATTCAATTTATTTTTCTAGTCAAATATGTTTATATATTTGTTACGTGCAGCATTGTAAAAATATACAAATTATAGGTAATAGTATTTATGTTATATGTACATGATATTAATTAGTAAGCTGGTAAATTACAACTATTTATACATTATGCCTGGCTAGAACATGACATAGAGCAATTATTTATCCTGGTACATTCAGTAGTCACTTATGTAACAAATGTACAAGTAATTATTTTTCAAGCTATTAATTAATTGATTTACTAACAAGGTTAAATTATTAACTGTACACATGGACAAGATATGCATGATCACTTAATTTATGGTGAAATAGGTACCTAATGTATTGTCGAGAATCAAATGGACAAATTACATATATGGGTTGCCATTTAATTATATTTTTATCTGCAACATATTAAATAAATGGAAACAAATGTAAATAACACAATGATACAACAATAAAACTAAAACAATGTCAAAATTAGATGATACTTTCTTGGTTTTATGAGAATTTAAATGTGAACTCGGCTGCGGTTTAGAATTGGGGACATGGCCCCTGGCGAGTGGGTGGTATTTCTGGATAAGGGACGTGATAGAGAGTCGAAATGTTAAATAAAAATATTTAATACAACAAAAGAGTCAAAAGTTATTGAGACTTAAAGTTATAACATTTCCATACATTATTTTGACATTACTACCATTTAGACACTTGGAGTCAAAACGTCACTTTCAATTGTCAAAATGATCTCCAGATGATTGTCTTTATTTGTACTTTGCGTGAAATTCGAATTTTCTAGTTTTCTAGTCATTTATGGCACTCGCCGGCCGCTACCGCGGCACGCTCGCTTCGCTCGCTCGGCTCGTGCGTTGTGGCAACTGTTCTAACCTTTTTTTTTTTTTTTTTTTTTTTTTTTTTTTTTTTTTTTTTTTAACGTTGGGAAATGCATTTACGCACGACGTGTGGGACTCACCGGCGTAATACAACCAGTACTACCCACTAAAACCCAACAAAACCTTCCCCCGTCTTAATGGGGCGTCGCAGGATCACTTACGCATTCAACTACGACGCCCCGACGGCAGGTCTGCCAAAGCAGACCACCACAACCATGGAGTTGCTCCAAGGTCCACTCTGCTATCAGAGAAGTACCAGGAGCAACCCGCAAGGTACACCGCACCCCGAAGAGGGCCACCTCCCACCGCCCACCGAAGTGGGCAACCTCCCTGTGCGTTTCTTAGCTTCGCTACTACTACTGAGCCCCCCCACCACGACAAGGTGAACGCACGTTGGGGGAGAACTGTTCTAACCTAACCTAACCAAGATATGACGAATAATTAATAAATAATCTTAAATGTTCTAACCTAACCTAACCCAGATATGAGGAATAATAAATAAATAATCTTAAATGTTCTAACCTAACCTAACCCAGATATGAGGAATAATAAATAAATAATCTTAAATGTTCTAACCTAACCTAACCCAGATATGACGAATAATAAATAAATAATCTTAAATGTTCTAACCTAACCTAACCCAGATATGACGAATAATAAATAAATAATTAAAAATATTCACAGATAAAAAAATGATTTTTTTTACTAAATGTACAATTGTAAAACAATATATTTTACAAAAATCAAATAAAAAGTCATAAATGTATTTATAAAGTGAAAATAATATTTTTCTTTTTATTTATTTATTTATTTATTTATTAATAGTAATATTTTACCAACAGAAAAAGCAAAAATAATCAAATATAATCTGTTGTCATTTAAGCGGTAATATAAAACAAAGTGTCAGTTTTGCTTTTGTCAAAATGTAAGATCATTTTGTTTGTGTTGTGAAATTATTGAAATATTAAATACAATAAAGCATTAATTGTTGTGAAAATGTGTAATGTACATAAAAAAGGATGCGTACTATTCGTTAAAGGTATGTTTATCCTTTGTAATCACTTATTTAGGTAAAGAAATGTATGGAAATGTGTTAGATATGTTATAACTTTAAGTCTCAATAACTTTTTAGTCGTACGTTTCCTCCAAATATTTTTAATATATTTTGACTCTCTGTCACCTCCCCTATCTAAAAATACCACCCACTCCGAATGGTGGTAAAGAAATATATGAAAATGTATGGAAATGTTGTAACTTTAAGTCTCAATAACTTTTGAATCTTTTGTTGTATTAAAAAATTTATTTAACATTTCGACTCCCTATCACGTCCCTTATCCAGAAATACCACCCATTCGCCAGGGGCCATGTCCCCAATTCTGAACTTGTGCCGTGAACTCTTTAAGTGAAACTATCTTTTTGGATTTTTTTGTAATTTTATTTATAGTTCCTCATATTTCGAATTCTGTACAGTAAACATGGTTACTGGAGAAATTCTCTTCATTAATTGTTTTTTTAAACATTCTCTACATTTTTCGTTTAAAAGCCAGATGTCATAGTGAACAGTTAAGGAATAAAAGGAAAAAAAACTTATTTTATTTAAAAAAAAAACCTGATTTTTTTAATCAATTTTTGAAGTGAAAACTTCTGTAGGCAGGTTTGGATGGGGAGTAAATTCATGTAAGCCGTCATCAACATGGTCATGTGATGTGTTAACACTAACACTCAGGGTGCCGATAGATATCAAAACCATATAAATGTAAACAGTTTAAATTTACACATTTTAATTTAAGATCAAACAATAAATTAGAATATCCAAAAATAACAACTGTTTATTTATAGTTTTAAAGTTTTCACTTCTGTTGGCAGTTCTCATGATTGCTTTTTTTATATCTTTTGTGTAGTGTCTCATACATCTTATGTGTGCTTATTAAATATTTGTTAAAATATCTGCTAAAAGTAAATACTGTTTGCAGATTTTCTTATAAAACAAAAAAATAATAATATTTGTAATTATTTTTCATTATTTGTTGTTTATTAAATATAATAACTTACATACACTCTAAATAAGTATAATATTGCCCTTCCAGCAAGTAGTAGACATATGGATAGAAGAATATAAAAGCAACAAAGAGAGTGCACTGGTGCAGCTGATGCAGTTTTTCATTAACTCGTCTGGATGTCGTGGGAAGGTTACACCAGATATGGCTCAAATGGATCACACTCTCATTATCAAGAAAATGACTCAAGAGTTTGATGAGGTTTTTTTGTTATATTTATCTATGAGATTATCCTTACATTATCAAATATGATTCAATTCATTAACAGAGTAACTGTTTGCAAAATAGACACAATAGTTAAACAATCGAAATGTTCATATATGACTCAGGGGACAGGGAAACGGTTAAAATTAACCCTATGTACTTTATTTTAATATTTACAAAAAAAATTTTTCTAGGAAAGTGGAGAGTATCCCCTCATCATGACAGGACAGACGTGGAAGAAATTCCGTTCTAATTTCTGTGAGTTCATTCAAACACTGGTAAAGATGTGCCAGTACTCCATCATATATGATCAGTACTTGATGGACAATATCATCTCCCTGCTAACTGGGCTATCTGATTCACAAGTCAGAGCTTTTCGACACACAGCTACTTTAGCAGGTAAGTCTTACAAAGGTATTATGTAAATAATGTAGGTATATGAATTTAATAGTGTCTACCCTTGCTGCGTTCGGGCTCGTCCCTAGGTACGTTTTAACAGTTAGTATGGAATAGATATGCTCTACAATATACTATACATAGATATAAAAAAGTAGGTAAGTACTTTAAAAAACTTCCCATTTTACCTTAATTGGTCATAAAAATATTCCTTATTTCTTACCAAAATTAAGCATATAATTACTTTTTGTCCTTAACTTGAGATATGATGTGTTCCCAATTTATCTGCTTTCAACCCCATGTTCTTTTTAACATCGGGAAATGCATTTACGCACGAGGTGCGGGACTCACCGGCGAAGCTAATACTACCCACTAAAACCCAACAAAGCCTTCCCCGTTTTAATGGGGCTTTCACCGCGCTCTCTTGGGAAACCGAGTGAAGCTGGTTCAAATCCCGGTACTAGCACCTTTGATATTTTCATGTGCGAATCATTTCTAACATAATTACCACTTGCCTTACGGTGAAGGAAAACATCGTGAGGAAACCTGCATGTCTGAGAGAACCTAGCAAGTTTCCGAAAGACGTAAAGTCCGCTAACCCGCACTTGGCCAGCGTGGTGGACTGTGGCCTGATCCCCCTCGTATTGAAGGGAGGCCCGTGCCCAGCAGTGGGACGTTAAAAAAATATTATATTATTATATTATAATTATATTATAAAAAATTTAAAATCATGTTTGCATGCAAACCCTTCCATTTGAAATCCATATCAATGGGGTGCATAAAAAAACAGTCCGTTATATTGGATTTATAATGACGTCACTTTGATTATTGTGTTTCGCTTATCAAGCCATTTTCATTTGATGTCCATATTATGGGGGTGCATAAAAAAACAGCTACCTTTTTGGGAATCTGCAATATTGGATTTACAATGACATCCTCATAATACTTTTTTAGATTTACGCGAATATTTGACATTTTAAATAAAAACATCTTTTCAGATTATTTCGCAGATTTAACCAATAATCAAAATAAATCGCGAAATAATCCGAAAAGATAGTTTTATTTAAAATGACTTCCTCATAAAATTTCCATTCCGGGGGCCTTATATGAAAATCGATTCTCAAGGAAAATGTTCTACTCCAAGGTTCTATCCCTCTTCATACCATACTTCTACAACATTGGTTCAGCGGCTTATACGTGAAAACATAACAGAGTTACTACCACATTTATAATATTAGTATGGATTATATTTTGCTACGGTTAATTGTAAAATAATTTGATATCGTCAACAGTAATGAAGCTAATGACAGCACTGGTGGACGTGGCGCTGCTGACCAGCGTGAACTGCGACAACTGTCTGCGGCAGTACGAGGCGGAACGGCTGAAGGCGCGCGACAAGCGCGCCAGCGAGCGCCTCGAGGTGCTCGTGGCCAAGCGCCAGGAGCTGGAGGAGAATATGGAGGAAATTAAGAACATGCTGTCGTATATGTTCAAGTCTGTGTTCGTGCATCGTTATAGGTATGTCCGAGTTGGTGTGTTGTAATGTTGTCTAGCGACACACCAGTTGCATCACTTAAATATAGAGAGAAATAAAAACAAGTAGGATATAGATTTTAATATAATTAAAATTGACAAAATGGAAACCCTCTTTCCCACTTTGTTTGTAGATTTATATTATGAACCTCGAGTAGAAGAATTTATATAATTGATATAACAACATTCCACAGAGATACTTTGCCGGACATAAGAGCCATCACAATGTCAGAGATTGGTATTTGGATGGAGAAGTTCCCCGCACATTTCCTTGATGATCTTTATCTTAAATATATTGGATGGACTCTCCATGACAAAGTAAGTTACCATAAATATGTACTACGAAATTTGTAAGTATCGTGTTATTGATTACAAGGTGTTCGTAATAATTGCGTGTATGTAGTAGATATGTAGTAGATATATTTAATAAGTATTTGACATTATGATGTTTTCGTAACCGTAACAGGTGGGAGAGGTGCGGCTGCGCTGCCTGCAGGCGCTGCAGCCGCTGTACGAGTGCGAGGAGCTGAAGGGCAAGCTGGAGCTGTTCACGTCCAAGTTCAAGGACCGCATCGTGTCCATGTCACTGGACAAGGAGACGGAGGTGGCGGTGCACGCCGTGCGCCTCGTGATCGCCATCCTCAAGATGCACCCCGACGTGCTCACGGACAAGGACTGCGAGAACGTGTACGAGCTGGTGTACTCGTCGTGGCGCGGCGTGGCGGCCGCCGCCGGCGAGTTCCTCAACGTGCGCCTCTTCCGCGCCGACGCGCCCGCCGCCTCGCCGCCGCGCTCGCGCCGTGGCAAGGCGCGCCCGCCCAACACGCCGCTCGTGCGCGACCTCGTGCAGTTCTTCATCGAGTCCGAGCTGCACGAGCACGGCGCCTACCTCGTCGACTCGCTCATCGAGTCCAACCCCATGATGAAGGACTGGGAGTGCATGACCGACCTGCTGCTCGAGGAGGCCGGCCCCGGTGAGGAGGCGCTCGACAACCGCCAGGAGTCGTCGCTCATTGAGCTGATGGTGTGCTGCGTGCGGCAGGCCAGCACCGGCGAGCCGCCCGTGGGCCGTGCGGCGCGCAAGCACGCGCAGCTCAGCAAGGAGCAGGCCAAGCTGGTGAGCGACGACCGCGCGCGCATGACGGCGCACTTCATGACCACGCTGCCCGCGCTGCTCGACAAGTTCGGCGCCGACCCCGAGAAGCTTGCGAACCTTGTGGCCATCCCGCAGTACTTCGACCTCGAGCTGTACACCACGCAGCGGCAGGAGGGCAACCTGACGCTGCTGCTGAACAAGATCCGCGAGATCGTGAAGGTGCAGACGGAGGCGGAGGTGCTGGAGACGTGCGGGCGCACGCTGGAGCTGCTGTGCAGCGACGCGCACGCCGTGTACACGCGCTGCAACGTGGCGCGCGCCACCGTCACCGACATGTGCGTCAACCGTTACAAGGAGGCCGTGGACGACTACCGCTCGCTGCTCGAGGGCGGCGAGACGCCCGACGCCGACGAGCTGTTCAGCCTGATAAACTCGCTGCGCAAGGTGTCCATCATGTACATGTGCCACAACCTCAACGACACCAACATCTGGGAGTCGTTGTTCGAGGACCTGCCCAAGTGCCTGGCGGGCGCGGGCGAGGAGATGCCGGTGCAGGCGCTGGTGTACGCGGTGCGCGCGTGCTTCTACTCGGTGTTGTGGTCGCTGCACGAGCTGGAGGAGCGCGGCGGCGACGCGGCGGCGCTGCGCGAGCGCCTGCTCGCCTACGCCGCGCTGTGCCGCGACGTCGTGGCCCGCGGCCGCGCGCCTGAGCTGCGCGAGGAGGTACTACTGGAAATATTCGAATATAGCATATGGTTTTTAAATTTATCTCATGAGATATTTTCATTGATTATATAAATAAGCTGAAGTTAGTAGTCCTATAGTAATTTTAATCACTTATTTATAACGTCTCAAGAGTATTTAAGATTTAAGATTATTATATGTTAAAAGAAATCCATTTACCCATAGGTTAAGTTATAACATTACATACATACATATATTTTAACACTATTTCTTACAATTTTCGTGTACTAAAGAATATGATCCATTTTACTCATTCCTTCCTCACAGGCGTACATCAGCATCTGCGACCTGCTGATCTTCTTCGCGGAGCAGCCGGGCGCGGGCGCGGGGGGCGCGCGCATCGCGCTGGAGGCGGACGCGGCGCTGTGCGACCTGCTCAACGACTTCGTGCAGGAGTTCGTCTTCGTGCACCACAACTACGGTAACACATACACGCACACACACTCAGACACACTCAGACATGTTACCACACAGACATCGTACAAGCTCTTTAATGATTACTGTTAAATATAGAATATAATACTGTGAAATATAGATATGATAGAATCTATAACAAATTCCTATTAATTTAAGGCCATGTGTGTTTCAAATCAAAATTAATATATGTGTGACTGACTTATTGGAATGAATTAAAGCAAATTATATACAGATATATACATATGATCCTCTCACTGAATTTTGAGGTGATCGTCTCAATAATTATTACATTAACAAGTTGAGTTTTAGAAACAATTATTAATTATTTCTCATAATTGAATACTTACTACAATGATACACTACAATGAAATATCACAAGATTTTTAATAATGTTCTTATCATCGATGTTGTATTAATATGGTTATGCCATTGATATATAAAACCATAGATGCACAGTTCCTAACAAATGTCTCTTCGAAAAGTGGCGTCGTAGGTGACGTTAAGTCTAACAAAAGAATAAAACCCAAAAATCGTAAGCCCTGATTGTGTTAACATAAATCCTAACTTACAAGTATGAAAACAACGTGTGTTATGTCACGTTTTTAAAATCGTCCGAAAAACAGTAAAATAATAAAATAAAACCTACATACAGTAGAGTCATTGTTATATTTAACTTATCTTCTAAGATAAATTGTAATTTATTTATATTGCCGTCAAAATTACTATTATCATTAGAAATATGTGTTAAACTTATTGTTATATCACGATTATTGAATATTATAAAATTATTTATTAGAAGAATTAAGTTACTTAAAAAAATAATTAATAGATTAAGCAACTCAATAGTGTATTTATTTATTCTTTCCAAATAAAACATTAAGTAATGAATTATTCATTATAAATGAAAACAGGTTAATTCTTTACTTAAACATATTTAAAAAAATTAAATTAGTACTAAATAAAAATATGTAAATATTGAATTAGAAAAGTGCAAAACGGTAATAACTCTATTTAAATAAGATCAGTTATGTTATTAGGCGGCCTAGTATAGAAAGAGATTGTAATATTATATTGTTCTTATAGCAAATATGCTGCTATTATAATATGTCACATAACTACCAGTATGACAAGTAAAAAATTAATTAAATAAAAATCAAATGATCCTCGTTATATATTTATAATATATAATACAATTTTTTAAGGACAGTTGAGACGCTAATTGTGTATCTTGAGTGTTTGTATATCAATGGGTTCCGCCCAATGTTATTTAGATACGTGTCTGTACCACACGTGACACGACTCGTAAATTAAACACTATGGTTGCCGTTTACTGTTACAACAATATTTCTTACAATTTTATCTATAATTATTTTGTTATTTTAATATTGGTCTTCACGAGGGTGGGTCAAAATAATCCCTTATCACTCGTCCCGTCATATATAGACATTTTAGCAGCATTTTTAGTAACGCTATTATTGTTAAATGACTGTACTATTTTCATTGTACTTGTACACATTGTGTGTGGGTGACATCAGATTTTTTGATATTTAGATGACACTTCTGAATGTTCATTGGGTCTATTACCTGAATCTGATACTGATGTTAAAAACGATGAATCCATAAAGTTCACGTTCATCCATAAAAGCACATTGCACAGTGCTAGAGTGGAAATAGTACACTATTAGTTAAAACTTATCGTGAAAAGTTTAAAGTTCAACAAAACTAAGATGCTATACTAGGCACGATGTTTTTTTTAAATGTATTGAATTATAACACAGTACAAAATCTTTGCAGTAAGCGATCATTTATAATATCGTATCGTAGGAAGTTAGAGTAATTAATACCCGTCAACCCTAAAGCTGTTTCCCAATTGTCCTATAAAAGTAAGTATGACAGTTGGGTTGGGTTTTTTCATTGAATAACCTTCCAATCTGTTTTAATGTATTAAAGCTATCGTTACCGATAACACGGAACATTCGAAGTCTTCCACATTGTGAATTGATCATGCGTAATCAGTATATATAATAAATATATATTTGTATGTTATCTGCTTTAGACCAATCAATCGTCTTTTCTAAGAGTACACTTCAGCGCTAGGTCGTAATGTAACATTATATCTAGTATTTTTATAGCTGTTTGTTTGAAGCGTATAAAAATAAAAAAATAATACGTATTAAGAATTGATTCTCCACTCTTTTTAAAATCTTTTTAACCCGCCCCCGTGAAAGTCCCTTTAGTAATGTTCTATTAAAATTTATTGAAGGATTAATTACATTTATAAATAAATTTTCATGTGAAATTTAAAATATATGCATTATTTTCGTACAAACGAAATGAAGATTTGAAACTGGCAACTTGTAAACACGCGCTCGAATATCGCACTCCTAAACCGACCTAGGCCGCTCACTAGCGTACCAGACTTGACTCCCATATTAGAAGATGAATAGGTAAGGTTGACGAATGCCGTCTTTTTAGTTGCCAGAATGTAGTAATGCGTGGTATCTTTTGAACCGTTAAATAAGGCGACGTAAAGCATTGGTTCGCTGTATTCTAACCTTTTATCTTGATTTTTGGGACTTGAGTACTGTAAGGCATGGCTCGAAACCCTTTCAATTTTTGAGATTTAAGATTTTGGTCATTGACCCCAAATAGAAAGGTATTCCTGTTAAATTCTTTAGCCGGTTAAAATCTCTAATAATCTTTAGACGAATTTAGGTTCCATGCTCGGAATTAACCGGTTAAAATGAATATTGGTGTGTTTACATTTGGCGAATCTTTGCTAATGGTGAATTGCTTTGTAGAAGGATACATGTACCGTTCTTACTTATGAATGAATTAACCGGTTTATTTCGGTACCAAAACATAAGTCTAATATTTCTCTAAGAATAGCCGTTAATCATTATTATTTCGGTTTATAAAAACGTTTTATACCCTGTTAATGAACAAGCGATGAATTAATCATTACATTACGGGCTTAAATTAACTGTTTTTTTAAGCGGTTCCGAGCCCTGCTATAAGTACGTCGCGGTCGGATCGCGTTTTCGGTTGCGATATTCGCCCGTGGGTCGCTCGCCCGCACCGCTTCCCCACGCGACGCCCATCGGTCGACTATTGACGAAAACGATTGCACTTATCTAATTCGTCCGTATTTATGACATTTTGAGGAATTTTATACAATTTGAGAGAAATTCATTTTATCTGTCTATAAATTGTATTTGTTTCGGCTCTAAAAGAAAACGGTAAGAGCGTTCGGTTTCGGCTGGGTCAGTAGGGTTGTGCCGGTTGTGTGGGAGGGCGTGGGCGGCGCGGGCGGGCAGCCGGGCGGCGCGTAACGTACGTGTGTTTGCTTGCATGTCGTGCGGCGCGTCGGGACTGCCGGTAAGCATCAGCCGTGCGCGCAGTTGGCCTTAGTAATGCGCGTCGCCCGCCCGCCCGCCCCCGCGGCGCCCCCGGGGCACCGCGGCCCTCGCGGCCTCCCGGGGGCCCCCGCGACCTCCCGGGGGCTCCCGCGACCCCCCCACATTACTAAGGGCAAATTGTCGCGCTCGCTTCCTCGCCCGCCGGAGCCGCGCCCGCGCCCGGCCGCGGTCCGCGCGCGGCTCCGGCGAGGCTTTAAATTAACACTATTCTCGTGACTGAAGCATGTTTCGTGCAGTGCAATTGACATTTTCGTTGCGTATCTCATCATCGTATTTATCGTTTTCTGCAATTTTTTATTTTAACATTGGTTATGGTTTGTCACTTCATCTGACGCGTCGGAGCAAGCGCTTGGGTTAACACTCGCCACTCGACGGGCCTTACGTTCTTGTCGCATTTAACCGGTTTCCGAATTTCAATGCCACTAATTTGCGATGACAAACAATGACAGTATTCAGTTGAGCTTTTTATTCTGAGCCGTAGATTTTTCTTTAGAGTGATGCATGATTCATATGAACAATAGTCGAGTGAGATGTGAGCGTTGAATCATCGGAGATGTATCAATTGGTAGCCACTGACCATTCTTTAACTCTCGAATTATAACGCTTGTTCAAGTGATGCACATCTAATTGGTTCCTGGAAAGTATGCTTGTAAAATGCTCAAGATGACTGCTTCTTAACAACTATATAATCAATCAAATCGCAAATAAATCGCTTAATAGTTTTTTATGTATTAAACAAACAACGTGATAGATAAATTAGAGATTTAGCTACATCATAATGAATTAAAAAAAATATAAATGCTGTAATTTGATATGTAAAATGTAACACACTTTTGGACAATTAGTAACAATTTTTATATTTTTGTTAAGTTAGTACCAAATAAATTAAAAATACTAAGGAATATTAATTTCAAATTAAATTAAAAGAAAAAAATCCTTAATTTATTTTAAAACTTAAGCAATAAATACTTTAATGAACTTATAATTAAATTTTCAAATGAGCAAACAAATGTTTAAAATACTCACTAAAATAGATATTATTGCACGTCTGGGAACCGGTTAGTTATTACTAACATCAACGCTGGCGTTTCACGCAGACTCTTCTCAACAAATGTTCACCTTTTACGGGTTTATTTATGTTTAAAAAGAAAGTAAAAAAATGAAATCGTTGACAACTCTCTGTTTGAGAGGAATCTGTAGAAGTTTAACGTAACTGATTGTGATAAAGTACGAAGTAACAATCCAGTAAAAGGTGGACAAGTAATAGTGGTAGGACGAGAGAGTAAGCGCGGTGGTCGTGGCGGTGTTGCAGACGGTCAAGACGAGAGACGCATCGAGGAGCTGCACAAGCGCCGCAACTTCCTGGCCGCCTACTGCAAGCTCATCGTGTACAGCGTGGCGCCCGTGCGCCGCGCCGCTGACGTCTTCAAGCACTACATTAAGGTACTTTGCGGTTTTGTTTTTTTGTTGCTAGCTTAGGATTTGTGTACAAAATTTGATTTTTATAATACCATAAAGAGTGTAAAGTTTTATAAATTTAGACTGGCTTTAAATTTAATTTGAGGTAATTTGTTTACTGTGTACTTATGTAACATGATATGTTATCTTTCCAAACTGGTAATAGGCTCATGACGTTCAGTAAAAAATTGTAATAATTGTGTATATATGAACATAAAGTAAAACAGTCTAAAAGTGTCGTGTTATATTCGATAGGAACGAGGTTCCTTCAACTGTCTGCTTGGGTAATAAATTAGCTCACAAACATCGTTATGAGTACTAGGGGATCACACACCTCGAGGAACGTCCGTTATATATGTAGAGTCCCGTCATAAGAGTGCATACCACTCCTTAGCATACATGCTCACCTGGTACGTGTGATGATGTCACATCACGCATGGGTGCTCTTAGTAAATAATAAAAATTAAAAAGTGTCGTGGCGATCGGAATATTATGCTTTCTGTCTAGTTTTCATTCGCCGAGGGTGCCGAGTGTAACGTGTGATGGGGAGCTTTGTTCCAAAAATGATGTCGAAATGTTTGCATTATGTATGTAATGATACCGTTTGCGTGTCGCAGTGCTACAACGACTACGGAGACATCATCAAGGCGACGCTGAGCAAGGCGCGCGAGATCAACAAGCTGAACTGCGCGCTCACCATGCAGCTGGCCATGCAGGCGCTGTTCACGGAGCTGGTGCGCCGCGCGCCCCCCACCGCCGCGCTACGCAACCTGCCCGAGTTCGCGGAGCTGAAGGAGCTGGCCAAGCGCTTCTCGGTGATGTTCGGGCTCGACGCCGTGAAGAACCGCGAGGCGCTGACGGCGCTGCACCGCGCGGGCGTGGCGTTCGCCGCGTTGGACGCCGCGCCGCCCGCGCCGCCGCCCAACCTGGCGTTCCTGGAGCCGCTGGCGGAGTTCTCGGGCAAGCTGCTGCGGCAGGACAAGCGCGCCGTGCTCAAGTTCGCGGAGGTGCGGCTGGGCGGCGGCGCGTGGGCGGACGAGTGGGCGCCGCTGCAGGCCTACCGCGCCTCGCTGCTGGCCGACGCGCCCGAGGAGCGCGCCGCGCCGCGCCGCCACTACGCGCGCCGCCCGCGCCGCGCCACCGACGACGACGACGACAACAACGACTCCGACGCGGAACCGCCCCCGTGAGCGCTCACTTACTGCCCTGTGCTGTCTATGCACCCGGTGAAGGTTATCCCTGAGAGCGTCGCCGCTTTAGGCGAGCGGAGGCTATAATTCTGAGGGATAATCCGTCACTATGAGTTGTATATGTTGTGTAATGTAATAAGTCTTGCGGTAGTTAGTGGTAATTTATGAGTAGTTTAGAAGTAAGTAATTTTTAATCGTTATAAATAAATAAAACCTGCTCAGGACAGATATCCACGTTTTATAATGTTCATATTTCTTAAATTATATTTATTACCAATAAATGGTACCCTTCATAAACACAAATACATATATACCAACTATGTGACGTGGTTTTCATTTAAATGTATATAAAATATTGAGCAGTGTATAAATATTGTTTAAGAGCCTGTATGTTTCTAGCAATATCCTCATATAAATTATAAAATTATGTTTACTTACCGAGGGACCGCCTAAATATCATCAAAATTATGGATTTGATTCTTGGTAATATGCTCATCGAGTACATGTTTTGTAATTAACTTGCTTAAAATATGTTTAAGTTAACATTTATTTCATAACTATGAAAAACACAAGCAAATTATCCTACGGGAACCGTACATTTTTTCGGGATAAGACTATTCCAGCCGTTCTGGCGTGAAAGAGTAACAAACATCCATACTCACAAACTTTCACATTTATAATATTAGTATAAATTTGTACATGATTCTTATTCATATTTATAATGAAATATATTGTGTTATTTTAACAATATGCGACAACAAAGTTAGACATAGTTTTTGATATATTATTCACTAGAACACAACCTTAAAGTTAAAATGTTGCATTACAATACTTGAAGAGTGACTCATCTGCAATTACTAATCTGTAAATGACACCAAGAACTTCGACATATAATATTTACATAAATATTAAATTCGCTATTTGTCTGTTTGTATGAAATAGTCTAACAAATATGTTTAATATTTAAGAGAGGGATATATTATATGCACAGCTTCCTTTCCCGATGGAACAATATGTAATGCTATAACCTCACAGTGATTTATATGGGATTACGTTGAAACATACATAGTAAGTGTAGCTATTCTGAATAAAAAAATTGTATGATCAATACAATAATCAAATCCACGAACTCTGATGAACTTAGTGATTATAACGGTAATGTAAATGTTGCCGACATATTATTCTTATCTAAATACCAGCAACGTGGCGTCTTGTTGAGCAGGTTTTGGTATTATAATTAAGGGTACAAGTGTAGTTAAGTTTGAATATTTTTATAATAAAACGTATTTATGAAGTGATATTGGATTTGTTTTTGATATAATCAATAATCATACTAATCTTAGTTTACTTATTTTGAGTAATAATTAACGTTGAGTAACGTAGATTGTAATGTCGACGTTTAGCTCTTCATTTACTTAATAGAAGAGAAGGGAGGTAGTGGGTTCCGTGCCCGCTCTGTTGTAAGGACGGTTTTTGCAGTTTTTAGCTTGGGAAACAGTTTCTGGGCCCAGATGAAATTATGGAGTGATCCCGAAGCAAACCCTGCAGTTTATAACAGCGGCAGAGTTTAGTGGGTTATTCCAGTTAAATATGCGGCTATCTATAATATAATAAACTAGTGACTCGCCCTCGCTTTGCTTGTGTTCGTCTCTAGGTTGATTCCCCGTACAAAATTTCATCCCCATTTTCACCCCCTTAAGGGATGATTTCCAGGATAAAAAGTATCCTATGTCCTTCCCAGGGTCTCAAACTATCTTCTTACCAAATTTCATCTAAATCGGTTCAATAGGTCCAGAGATTACCCCCTACAACCTCACGCCTTTACCTCTTTATTATATAGGTTAGAAAAATGGTCGAAGTGATACTTTACAGCCGCAATAAAGAAATAAAAAAGGGCCATACACACAATATTTTAAAACTATTAAGTAACTGGCGTTTAATGGATTTTCCATAGAATTTCCGCGGGTGGTTGGTATTGCTGTATACAATTAATTACGGTCATAAATATGCATGTAGTATATGAGTGATACATATGTACGTAAGGTTACAATATATGTAAGTACGTTACATAATAGACATTAAATAATATAAATAAATATGTTGGGATATTAACACACAGCATCATCTAGTTCCATTGAAGCTACGAGACTTGTGTTATAGATATCAGATAGTTGATACACTACTATATAACTTTTAAATACATACATATTATAAATATAAACACCCATGATTGGAGTACAAACATTCGTGCTCATCACACAAATAAATGCCCCCAGCGGGACACGAACCCGCGACTGCTGGCACAGCGAGTAGGGTTACTACAAACTAAGTCAAACGTGTCGTTATAAAAATCCAAATATGTACATATGTATGTATATATACTACAATACATTGTACAATACGTAATACATAATACACAGTATATTTATATTGTGTAGCCACAAAATAATGTTTTTATGTAAGGTAAGATATTATACCAATTTTTTTACTACTTTATCTTTTTTTTTATAGTTTAGATTTTAGAGAATTTTAGTTATACCTATTATGTTTAATTACTTTGGTTCACTTGGGTTAATATTCTCGATTATGGTTTGACGTTTTTCTTTTTCTAAATCTCTGAAAATTAATAGCTTTTCTTATTTTATATGTAGGAGAAAAAGAATAAGAATGCGAAGTTCAAGTGACGCTTCAACAGTTACATCGAGCAGTGCGTCGGTCGCCGCGCGGTCGCGGCCGCGGGCGCGCGCCGACGTCACACCTAAAAGGAATTTGAGAGCTTCCAGAATTAGACAATAATATTGTATAGACATAATCATAGAAAAGGCAGTGGTAGCCCAGTGGCAACACGCTCGCTTGGGACACCGAGTGAAGCGGGTTCAAATCCCGGGTCTCGCACCTCTGATATTTTCATGTGCGAATCGTTTCTAACATGATTACCGCTTGCCTTACGGTGAAAGAAAAAAATCGTGAGGAAACCTGCATGTCTGAGAGAACCTAGCAAGTTTTCGAAAGACATGTGAAGTTTGCCAACCCACACTTGGCCAGCGTGGTGGACTGTGGCCTGATCCCCCTCGTATTGAAGGGAGGCCCGTGCCCAGCAGTGGGACGTTAAAAAGGGCTGAATACACATTGTATAGACATATAATTATTCTTGTTATGTTGTTTTTGCGCAAAATGTTTGTGTATAATAATTTGAAAACAATAGGTATTTTAAATTCATGTAATAAATATAACATGCTACTTAGTATACGTATGACTCACTGCCATCATGATCATCCTAAATTGTATCCCAAGAATGAGTACAGATTGTTACATTGTGCATATAAAAGATTAGAAATTGCAAGATTAATTAGAAAGAAGTAATGGTAGTTTTAAAGATCCTCACCATTTATTGTCTAATGTCTTAATTCAGTTAGCACTAATTAAATATTTCAATATTGTGCTATCTAGGCACTGCGAGAAGTGTGACCGGCCACTGCCACTTCAGCTTGGCAATTCTTTGGGCTATGTCGATAACTTTGGTTCCAATCGTTAGATCGGATCCAATCCTTTAGAGAAAGCGAGCACAGCCCCTCCATAGCACGCGATGTGCGTGACAATATGTTTCCTTTGAGTCCGCCCCCACGACCGCTGCGGACTTCTTTTAAGTATTTTATGCGTTTCGGTTGGATATTATTAGTTTTATATTGTTTGTAAATTTTTTCATTTTCTATTATATTTGTTACTTAATCCTTCCACGAGCGCGGACACGTCGGTGTTACGGTTAACAATAGATTTCTTAGAAATATAATTAATTTCTTAGAAATTTACCTGGAGGTGTAAATTGAGAAAGGCAGACGTTACGGAAAAATGTGAACTTAGAAATGCATGGTTAGTGCAGAATACATCGTTTCCTGTGTTCATCTAAATACGTCATGCCTTCGAGGGCATTTCGAGTTTTTGCTTTGCTTTTGTTCATTTTATATTGCTTTTTATACTGTTTGCTTAATGAATAAAGTTATATTTAATTTATTATTAGTTTTCTTTTTTTCATTTCCTATTCTACGATTACATTATTTTAGTCGGTGGTCAACCTCACTAAAATAAGTCAATTTATAGAAGACGGGCTCACCTTCGCTTCGCTCGGGTTCGCCTCTAGACAAACAACAACAAATCTATCCTACGGGAATCATATATTTTTCCGAGATAAAAAGTAGCCTATTTATTATTCTGATGAATGAATTATATTATTGTTAAGTTTCATTAAAATACAATCACTAGTTTTTGTGTACTAAGCTGTATAAGTTAATATAGTTTTTTAACTATCCCACGGGAACTTTGATTTTCCGGGATGAAAAGTTTCTAAGATGTTGACCGGGGATATAAGGTACCACCATGCAAAATTTCATTTAAATCGATCTAACAGTCTCAGAGATTAGCCCGTACAAACAGACAACCAGAGAAACAAAAGATTAAAAAAAATATGGATTTGTTCTATTTCTCTTCTTACATCCCCCTGACTCGGTTTGTAGCATTTTTTTTAAATTCGACCTCTACAGTTTTATTATAGTATAGATATTATTTATAAGTGTGTCGCGATTGGAGACAAATAAAAAACTGAATTTTGTAACTGTTAGGAACACTAGTTTATTGTAGTTTTTACGTGGATTGTTGTAAGTTAACTCGAGATATATAATTTTAAGCAATCGTCTTAGCGACGGCCAGGAGAGCGTCTGTGTTGCCATTTATATATGTAGCAATATACTCTATGGTTGCCATGATGGCGGAAACGGTACAGATTTACACAGATTATAAAACAATATAAATTAAGTGACGTTCGAAAACTTATAAAATCTAAATTATTTCATATTACATATATAATATTATTATTATGTTAATATTGTATATTAATAATAATTATACGCTACAAGTGGACGAATATTGTTCGAGATTGGTAAATGATAGAGAGTGGACCGTATAAAATAACTGTATTAATTTGACGCGTGTGATCATTGGTAGCCGCCGGTATTCGAAGTGGTGGCCGGCGCGCAAGCAGACAGCTTCCCCGCTGCCCTCCCTCGGATGCGCGTTCGGGCGATGCGCGAACAAATTTGCGTTTTTTCCTTTCACTTTAGGCTCAAATCACACTACTACTACTAGTGGTGGTCATGGTTCATTCTCACTCCGATATCAGTCTGCTAAAGTATTTTTATATAAGAAATAATGATTGCGGTCACTATCAGAAAGAGCGTCGAGAAGGGGCTGTCACTAGTGTGGATTTACCCTTAAATTCCGTTAGGACACGGTAATGTATGCATTACATTACCGTGGTTAGGATGACATGACGACTGCATAGATCGGACGCGGCGGCGTCGGGCGGCGGGACCGACATCTTCTAATTGTCGGCTGTTTTTTTACAGAGAAAACCAATAACATAGTCATAGTACATGTCTGATCCGGGACTCGAATCTACGACCTTATCATCTTTGACCGTTCGCCGACGTAGTCACTAGACCAAGGAAACAGTAATAACATGCTTTTTAATTTAGTTTAATTTTGCTAGTTTGTGTTTTGCTGTCAGTAGCTTAAGCATTTTTTTAGATTGAAGTGTTGGTAGACCGTCGAGATAATAATTAAAACTAGACATTAATTAAGACGTTTATAAATTATAAATATACTACTAATCTACAATATATACCCCAGATTAAAAATATTAATATAATCTCTTAGATTAAAAGTAAAAATATAAGCTTAGTAGTTTTACATAAGACCACCTCGCTTTGATCTTTCTTCGTTCGCCGCATTCTTGAAGGAGCAATATCATGCGGAATCTCTAAGTAACAGTCGGATTAATTAGAACTAAAATTGGAATTTTAACATTGAAGATACTGAGACAGGAAGAAAGAAATATTAGTTCAATTTATTGTCAATAGATGGCGTTATAAGTAAAGAGTAGAAGAATAGTTTGTGTATTCTGATTTCAATAAAATATTCAAAGTAAAGCAAGTGAAATCAAGTATTTGTTATATTGTCTGATGACCTAAAAATAGAATTAATATATCAAATAAAACTAAAGTTATGTAGCGACACCGTTACATTTGTTATAGAACCATTGCTCGGCAAACGTTGTGTGGGACGCCCTCTAGTTAGGGGGAGCGAATATGGTATAGGTCGTATAGTACTGGTCAGTGGCGGCCTTAGGGGGTGGCGAGCAGGGCAACCGCCCGAGCCTCGCACTTTCGCGGGCCTCGCGGCTTCGGACAACAACCCAAGTGTATTAGAATCTTGTGCCTTACGCCGTACAATAAAAGCCCACAAGGGGCAAGTACAAGCACATATCACATATCTTTCAATAAACCTTTATTGATATTAAATCTTGCACTATTAAGTATAAGTAATAATAGTAAAGAGTGAATTAGTAAAAAAAACTGCGTAAAACTGCTCGTAAATTTTTTATTAATTTTATGCGCAAGAAAGATTTTCAAACTGAGTTTGGCCGATTGTGATCCCAGTAGAAAAAAATAGTTCGATAGTTCAAAAAGGCAACAAGCTATCAAAAAAAAGCATTTAGAGAATATCTTTATGTGTATTTGTATAAATATATATTAAAGACAATGGTGAAGAAGCTTCTTAGTCCTTGAGACTCTTTAGTGACTGAAAGCGACATGTTTTTGCATTCTAACCCTAATCCAGCTGAAATAATTTTTTCAACAACAACAGTGAGTACCTAAGCAACATCATTGTTACCCCACCGCCGCCGCCGTCGTCAACACTATCCAGTCAAAAATACGTATCTAAATCTATGTCTACATCCAGTGGCGGAATTGAAAATCTGAATTCTTGAAATGACCCAGATTCATGGCCATCAATAATTACTAATGCAGACCGAACTAAGATTTCATTGAAAGGTCTAATCCGTTCTAGGACAGAATTTCTTTCAAACGATAGTGGATGGTGATTTATTGATGATGATGATGATGTCCTCATAGCCGATTCCGGCCACGGCGGCCAATCTCATTGAGTCTAGCCAACTGCGCAGGAGATATTATAGTGCACAAGTGTACGCGCAGACACAACGTGCACTCTCTATTCCTGTCACTCTCATACTCCGGGCTGTTACTGAGACTTACTATACAGAAAGACTCATTCATTGTATAGGTATTATTACAATAAAATATTAGCTAAAGGCGAAAAAGTAGACAGGCACTGGACGATTTATTCACAAACAAAATATGCCATTTACGGCATGCTCTGTCGAGTGTTCAGAATAGAATATAAAAAATTGGGTCCAATGCAGAAGTTTTCAATTGGAAAAACTTGGATAAATATTTAAAGTTTCATTAATCTAGTCGACTGCAAAAAGATCGTATGTTAAAATGGTTAAATTTAGAGAACGGGTGTGAACGGATGGTTAAATTTAGAGACTGGCTTAAAAAAGCTGTAAATCTATTGACTCTTTAGCCCAGAGTCTTTGGCCCTCCAGAGTGGGACGCAAGAGCCAAGTGCTTGAAAGAGTAGAAGTGCTCAATATGCAAAATAACGAGGACACCCGCTAATGAGCATTTGCGATGGTGAAACTTATGCACATTTCTCGACACCTTTAGCCGACTGATGCTGTGCCTGAGGCATTATACCGCGAGTGGGAGGCGAGTAACCGTACGTCAAATATTGAATCTGAGACTGTTGAGAAGGCGGTCGCCCGATAGTCTTATCCAATAGCCCAGTTTTGTAGCCCATCCAAACTCCATTCCATAGACCCTATTAGTTTATTATATTTTCCATAGTCCCTACGCATTATCTGGACCATATTTGAGTTATTTCTTATGGGTAACTCAGAGGTGGATCCCAGCTGATGCTTCATGTTAAACGCTTAAATCTCAGGGGTCTCTACGTGTGAACCTGAGGAACACAAGCCTTCCAAACGGCCGGGCTCCTCCGAGCCCGTGAATTCTAAAGAGATACAAATAATGTCCACATCTCGGAAAATTTTTTCAAAATGAGCTTATAGAATTAATGGCATGTCACACGAAGACTAAAAATGTTAACAAAATAATAAATTTATCTTCTTTGTGCTTGTTAACTTTTCTGAATTTCCAATATACAATTTTAAAACTTTAAATTTATTTATTTATTTATTTATAATTTTGCATTTCTCGTCAAGCATCATCATTAAAAATATTTTGAATTCAGATAAATTTCATAAAGGACAAGGGCCTCGCAAAGATCTACTGCCCGGGGCCTCGCAATGGCTAAGGCCGCCCCTGGTACTGGTGGCAAGGGTCGTATAGTAGAGGCCTATGTCCGCTGATTGACTAAAATTCGACGGAAATTTCCTACTTAATCGTGTAGGCTTACTAAAGACTTACCTATCATAAAACTTGTATTAAGAACTATATTTTATATAATTTCATCTGATAGGAACGTTTGTTTACGGGAGTTATGTATTTCAGAAGTAGGTCAGATAGGCCAAGTAATGTTCGATGTAAGTCATCACACTTACAGCAACTTCTTCACTTGCGTTTATGAGTAATAATAAATTACAGCTGTGTCTTCATAATGAAGTTGTGAAGTACACGCGTATTGGGGGCGGGGGCGGGGCGTGGCCGGCGCCGCCCCCTGCGCACACGCCTCCGCTACGGCTCGTAGCTCGCTAACTGTACTACAGTCGTGTTGTAGCACCCACTCGTAGGTAATCTGTGCTCAAAACACTAAACATTGTGGGTATTATTGACTTGTATTTCTGATATTGGATTTTCCTTAGGTAATGATAATGTAGATAATTGATGCTATATTTCGATAGTAAACTTATTTATTATATCTCACACTTGCTTAACAAAGAAGTATATTATATATTAAATAAATATAAGTATATTTAAATACACAAATTATTATGATACTTTCTTATATTAGATTTACGCGAATATTTGACTTTTCAATCAATTTTGAATTCTTTGAAATCTTTTTTGTAAAATTATGCGGAGGGAGGCCTTGACTTTAATGAGTAGGTATATAATCCCTTTGAGACTTCTAAAACTTTAATCTCTCCCGTGACAATGATTGCTGTAAAGCATTCGAAACATCGGGAACCAAAAACCCAAATAAATCCGCGAAATAATCCGGAAATATAGTTTTATTTAAAATTATTACCTATGAATTATTTATTTTATTTCTTATATATTAGAAAGCTTTTGATAACCGAAGAAAGTTATTTAAATGGCGAATGTTTATATTGTCCTATTAATATTGCAAATTAAATAATAGTTACTTTTTGATGTGAGTCGATTTTATTTTGTTGAAATTGATTTTATTTTGTTTTGTTTTGTACAGCTGTACACTGTAAGCTTTGGAAAATACATATAACATGGGTAACTTGATGGTGGAATATTACGAAAAATAATTGACATGTTGAACTTAGGTAGGTTTACTTGTTCTATATTTTCCGTCATTCCCTTGTAATAAATAATATAAATATATTTTTCCGCTAAGCATTAGATTTTACGGTGAATAAGATGATAATAAATGGCAAGCTGGTTTCTTGAGCCGTGCCTAACATCAACATGTGGTATACCTAATACTTTCTTAGATTTACGCGAATGTTTGACATTATTAAATAAAACTAAAAAAATAATAGCAAAAATTAAATAAATAATTTTCCATATTCAATTATAATTAAAATTATAAAAAATGTTTAAAGTTAAAAATATTGTAATGTAATTGGTGCAATTTTCATTTTGTTAATTGTGGGTAGGCTGTCTGTAACAACTATATCTTTAAGACATGTAACACCTCAGTCTCTCCCGTGACCATGGATGCTGTAAAGCATTCGAAACGTCGGGAACCAAAAATCAAAATAAATCCGCGAAATAATCCGAAAAGATAGTTTTATTTAATAATGTGGTATACCTAATATTAAAATATTGTATAGGTATATAACCATAGAAGATCGTAAATGAGTACCGATCCACCTTCGCTTCACTCAGACTAAATGATTATTTGCACTAATTAGCTAAACCTACCTACCTACTAATAGCCGATTAGATTATCGCAGTGATTTTTCTTTAGGTATGAAGGCTCTAGGTTTCACATTATGAGCAATATAATAATACTAAGACTGGCCAGATAATTTGCTGGCCAATTTATAAGAAGTTAATTCTAAAATTCATTTAGATTAACAAAATATAATTATTAAAAAAATAGGCTTAATAGTAGGTAGATTATTATTAATATTGTTTAGTTCCTCTATCTTTATTTATTATATGTAAATAACCTCCTCATATGTATAGGCTGTAATCAAAGATGTACTTAAGTTACCCGTTACAACTCGGTAATACAATTATATTATAAACTTTTGCACTTTTGCGGACTTTCATATCATAAAATTATCAGGGGTGACTGAAAGTATTCATTTAAATGTTTACTTACTAATAAATAAGATTATTTGTATAGCATTTGTCCTTATCCTATAAATTTAGATTATTAAATTTAATTTAAGTGTATATTATGGAAGATACCATTAACTAGTTCATATTATTAAAATAAACGCTGGAGATGTAGAGCTAATGTTAAAAATGGTACCTATCTATGTTTTAGTATAAGAAAATATTATTTATTTATTACAGTACTTAAAAATTTATTAAAACAGATTACCTACCTACAGAATTAGACTTCAGATCATTAGTAGGTAGGGTACCTACTCACAATTACTAGCCTATAGTTATTTAATATCCAAATTTTAGCGTATTGGTCATACTATATGAGTCACCATTTACCGTTAAAGTTCGAGGGTGGTAATATACATATGTGACGTAAATCCGCCCTCGCACTCTCCGCTCCGCCCGCAGCCTCCGTTACTTGATTTCATGATTTCATCTCCATTACATGGTGAGCGATGTCATCGTCTTGCATTACTCACTTCGGCCCCTAAACTTTACAATAATGTCATGTTAGTCTACCATCTTTATCGACCACAATAAGTCACTATCGTATCTTGCATAGGTACATGTTAAAATACGCGTTACAATGACAAAAACAAAAATGAAAACAGGTAGGTATTGAGTTTGACTTAAGCTACAAAAGCTCTAAATGACAGCAATACTGTAATTTTGTGTTATATATAAATGACTATACATGAAAACCTAATTTATAAATAAAATCTTATATTTGTTTTAAGTTTTTAAAAAGAATAAAAAAGAATTGCTAGAAATACTAATTGCTTTGGTAAGAAATTGTTGAGATATGTAAAAGCATTTTTTTCTAACTTTCACAAACCATAAAAGATAATTGTATTATTTATAATGTTATGCGAGATAAATATGATAAATACACACATTTTTAACGAATTAGATTCGCCTTTATTAGTATTTAGTCAAAACAATACCTATAGAAAATCCTTTTAAATTAATTTTGGCAGTTTATTTGAAATCAAATCATCTTAAACTGTATATAACAGAGTCCAATTGGTAGAGCTAGTACGGGCTCTATCGATATGCATCATGTAGAGCAGCCTTAGTATACAGGCGATAATGACTGCGCGACTTGTTAAAGTTCGCTTACCTCTGCAAAGCTTTCTTATTAAGGTAGGTTCTAATAGGCAGTGTATGTGAGTGAACTTTAGAGTAAAAAAGATACAAGAAGTACTTTTGCTTAATGTATTGTATGTAGGTATGTATGTATGTGTTGTGATCTGTTATTGTCAAAACTTGTATAACTTTTAAATATATGTATATAAATATAATATTTTTAAAATTATTAAGTGATTAAATATTTGAGTTATATTTATAAAGTTTAAATTTGTATTATATTAATGAAAAATACTGACTTTTACACCACTGCACTGATGCTTAAATGATTAAAAGTATCAGGTTTGCTAACCAGAAAAAAAGAGAGCATATAAATGTTAAAGCTTTTACCTTTATTCGCTTAATCCTAATTGAACAGTAGACAATAAATAAATACTTAAGCTAGGAATGTACAGTCTATCACTCGGCGCCGACGCCGACTCACAACCATTTTAATAAATAAATAAACAAACAACGGCAGTCATACGCTCACACAACAATAAGTTAAGTATCACTAGTTGAGAGCTTAGGAACTAGAACAAGGAGTGTCACATGCAGGTGCCCGCGCGGAGGAGACCCGCGTGGCATGGTGGGTGTCATGGGTGGTGTCGTGGGCGGTGTCACGTGGGGCTCTCTGGGAGGCGCGGCACTCGCGTGCTCTGCTCGATCATGCAGCTGCACCCCACTGCCACTTCGTGGGTCTTGATCTTCTTGGTATTCTTGTAGTAAACCAGCACGGTGTCACGCATCTCCACGCACTCCATCTGGTGGTTGGCGTGCGAGTGTTGGCAGCACTCATGTCTCGGGATGTGCTGCGCTTCGCACCAGTGGTTGGGCTCCTGAGCACAGCGCATCACCTTGATGCGCTGCGGTACCCGGTTCATGTCCACGTCCACATCCACGACGATGGGGCACACGGTCTTGTTGATGACTTCGCTGAGGTCCACGACACGGACGTGTGTCGGGTGCGGGCGGGCGAGGACGGCCGATAGGATGGCGACTGCCGCGAATAATAAAAATTTTTGGGTGGTCATCTCGGTTGTGGCGTGCGCTCACGATAAGATTTAGATTGCGAATAGCAGGTGTGTTCGGTTTAAGCGGTGTTTAAATACAGTGCGCAGTGTGCGGCGAGTGCGGCGGCAAACGTGCGGCGAGTGTGCTGCGAGCATGGCGGCGGGGCGCGCGCGGCTCAGACGCGTGTCGACGGCCGCGCCGGCTGGGTTGCGCCGGCTCCCGACCGGACGAGACGGTTCGAGTTAGAGAACGGTGTGATGTTATCGGTTTTTTTTCGAACTGAGACCGTATTAGTGCTTTTTTAGTGCGTTAAATTATTATTTCCAAGGACTTAAAGGAGCGAGGTTATGGAATTTGTGTCCTAATGTAATGATATCTGCATATAAGTGTTATTTGTGTAATTTAACTACTTAGTAAGTAATTAAGTGTTGTAATTGTTGAAGTTATGTATAAATGCACGTGTATGTGAAAATATGAGTACCTGTTTGTCTATCGTTGTAACCACATAAATATTATTATGTACTGATTTGTTGTATAAAATAAATAGGTCATGTCTGTAAGCCAATGGTCTTAGTGCGATAAATAACAAGCAATGGGATTGGTTGGCCTCGCGCCAGTGCCTGCGCCGGCGCCGGCGTCGGCGGAGGCGCGGGCGAGTGATGTGCAAGGCTCTACAATTGTATCAAGTTTTCATGCTTTTTGCCAATAGAGAGAGGTACCTCCTGTTGCTGGCTAATATAGGCGCTTTTTCCGAACTTCACGAATTCACAGCGTGACTACGAAATGACACTTAGATCTTCGTTAGAAATTAAGCATATTTAAATAAAGTTGACTTTAGCTCAAGCTTAATAGTAATTCCACACATAGAGGTGGAATATTTTTTCTAAATGTAATCTATGTAAAATACATATAAAATGAAAGATGAAAAATCATTAGAATTGAACAACATTATCGGCTAAAATATCGCGTATTATATACGATGCAAAATTTATTTTAATGGATATTTTTTGATTAAAATTTGTTACTTCTCGCAACCTCTATGTAGAACCCTCTGACCGCTATAACGTCTCTACCTTGTAAGGTCACGTAGTCATAACCTCATCCTCATATAATAAACAATACAATAAATATAATAAAAAAACATTAAAAGTTGTCGGTTAGCAGAACAGCTAACACGTGATGATGAGTCAGAAGTACTGCTGTGCTCACGCGTATGTTATCGTTTACTACAAACATGTGTTACACTTGTAAGTTTTTTAATTAATTTACTCAATTTCTTGAATTAATTAATTTACTATATTTAAAAAAATTTAGTAAATTAATTAATAGGTACAAGAAATTGAGAATACCTGTCTTGCCACATATCATTTAAATAAGGAAATATTGAAGGATGATAAAGCTATGGAGTAGGTACCTACGCTAATATCTCACAGTAAACACTTGATGTACCGAAATCAAAAAGTAGCTTAACTACTAAAAGTAGCTACTCCCCATAAAATATCTCTATACGATAAAATATCTATATTAGGGATATTTATTGCCCCTATACATATATTTAGTCATTTGCATATCTACATATAATTTACTACTTCCGATACTAGTCTTGGCAATTTAAGATCTTTCGTTTCCGGCTTTAAAGCCACCATTATCACTGAGACGTGATTCTGTAATTTAAAAATAATGTAAATGATTTATTTTCTTGATTTTTTTAATGGAGATCTTGATCGCAATGTGACCATAATTCATTAAGTTTGAACATTTTTTTGTCCAAGTTATATAGGCTTTTTTAGTTCTTCAATCAATAGTGTTTAAAATGCTTAAATATTTTTTTTTCAAATTGAACCCGCTGTTCGAGAGATTAACATATGCAGACTAACAAATAAACTTATTAACCAACAGGCAAAATATTAGCGCTGCAGCTTTAAGAAGCGGAGTAATTAATTATAGTTAGATACATAAATATACTACAGCTACAAGTCAATAAATTACAGCTTTCTTCAGTCCTTCTCCATATAAACTTTAACTACGCTAGGGCCCCTAGGCTATGCCAAAGCTCCTCCGTACCCGCAATATGCTTAAAATACGTTCTCAGTTTTCTTTTCATGTACCTACCTATTAATTTATGCTTACATATTTTAATATTTTTAACACTAGCAAAATATAGAGTGATTTGCATATTATCCCAACATTTCTGACAATAATCTTGGCACTTTAAGATATATTTCTCCATTTCTACCGCATCTAGATAACCGTGATTCTGAGTTTTTAACTCTATAGCTTAGGATAGATTTCCTACCCCCCCCCCCCCCCAATGTGTGTTCACCTTGTCGTGGTGGGGGGGCTCAGTAGCAAAGCTAAGAAACGCACAGGGAGGTTGCCCACTTCGGTGGGCGGTGGGAGGTGGCCCTCTTCGGAGGGCGGTGTACCATGCGGGTTGCTCCTGGTACTTCTCTGATAGCAGAGTGGACTGTGGAGCAACCCCATGGTTGTGGTGGTCTGCTTCGGCGGACCTGCCGTCGGGGCGTCGTAGTTGAATACTAAATTTTAATTCTAACTAAATTATTGTTTTATCCGCAAATATCTAAAGATAATAATTCTTCGCGGCAGTTGATTAGAGTATAAATATTAAAATCGATAAATTAAAAAGTGTTTTTAGTCTCTCAATGGCCTTGGTTGTTACGAATGAACAACATATTAAATTCCACGCTAGAGTAAGCTCAGCCCGCGGCAGGCAATATGGTGTGAAGTATAACTAAAGTAGGTGAACAGCAAGAATCGATAAATAAAAAAAACCTTATATTTTTTATGCATTTTTTAATGCCGAATCTTAAAAAAACAAAAAAAAAACAAAAAATAATAAATAAAAATTTGGGGATAGACCACCCGTATCACTTAGGGGTATAAAAAATAGTTTATGTCCTATGCTCAGACCTACTAAATATACACACAAAATTTTATAAGAATCTGTCAAGCTGTTTCGGAGGAGTTTTATTACAAACACTGTGACACGAGAACTATATATTAGACTAGCATTGCTCGCGGCTCCATCCGTGTTCAAATGACTAAAAACCAAAACTTTTACATTGCAGTTTTTGTATTTTTTCTCAGAAATGAGACATTTTCCCGCGGTAAAAAGTATCCTATATATTGACCCGGATAATCAGCCAAATTTCATCAAAATCCCTCCAGTGGTTTTTCTATGATGCGGTAACAGACAGACAGACAGACAGACAGACAAAAATTCTAAAAACTATAGATTTGGCCTCCGTATCGATAATAATGTTTATTTTAATAATATTTTCCAAAAAATATTTAATGTACAGATTCGGCTTAGTTACAATTTTATTATATATGCATAGATAAAGCCTATATTTATTTCCCATGACCGTGCTTGCTGTGAAGTATTCAAAATGTCAAGAAAATAATTTTATTTAATATATCAAATAGGTATCTGAAAATTGTTAAAATATCTAATATTCGCGTAAATCTGAGAAAATTTTACCCTCACAAGCTTCGTATCAAAGATCTCTCACACTCACTTGGACAGAAGGTTCACTTCATTAGGCTCGGTGTTCAAAGTGTTTTTAGGAGTATGCATCTTTTAACAAGTACGAGTACAGTGTGCTACTTTGAAAGAGTTTCATTTAAACGTATAACTTTAACTTACCATCTTAAGATTATCTATTGTTCGTAAACAAACTCTATTAGATTTTGGGGTTTTGTGTCATTGTTTTTACTTTCAACAGTAGAGTACCGGTCAGGTAGCGCGGCGTGTAGTCGGTAAGCTCGTCACGTGTAGGGCGGCGTGTGCCTAAAGAATGCCAACTACGATAAACGTGTTAATAGGGCCATTGTACGGTGCTTTACCTGTCGACGGGCAATTCCTAGATAAAAAAATCTTTCATTATTTTATAATAACAGAAAAGTGTGACAGTTATTTTAAATAAAACTATCTTTTCGGATTTTTTCGAGAATTTATTTTGATTTTTGGTTGCCGACGTTTTGAATGCTTTACAGCAATCATGGTCACGGGAGAGACTAAAAAATCCGAAAAGATGTTTTTATTTAAAATGTCAAATATTCGCGTAAATCTAAGAAAGTATTATGTGACTGTTACGTTAATTGTTTGTTGTATATTACTGTAATACTTACTAGTCTTATAAGTTTTATAATTTAATTGAATTTAAACGAAGAAGAATCAAAATCATGTTAGAATTTAAAATAATGTTAAGACTTATACTTTTCATATTTATGTCAATTATACTCTGTAGTAAAACATTGTACAGCATTATCATAAGTGATATGTAAGTAAATAAGTTCAATTTACTTTTAAATCTGTTACTGTAACTTTGCCAACAATTATCGACATAGGTATCTCTCGGGTATGAATGTCACAGTGATTGTAATATGTAAGCACCTGTCTATCTAAGTATCTACTTAGATAGACAAGAGCTTAAACAAGATGTTATTCTATTTCAATCATACTAGAATAGATATTTGTATTCAAAAGCCAAATTTAATCGTTACGTCATAGAATATGTCATTCCCATATATTTTTTAAATTTCTATTCTTCCAAGTTTGTACTCGTAGAACGATATCTTGTTATGGTTTTTAATACGAACAACATTTCTAAACAACATTTGTAAATATTATTTGTAATGGCATTTATTTTTTATGTTAAAAATATATTATGTGTTATTAATTTGTTAACATTTTAAATACTTGACATAAATTATAAGAATCAATCATATTCGTGTTTTAGGATCAGTGTAATATCTTCTTTTAATTGTTCATTGAAATTAATAAATATACCTACTTACGATAGTTTGGCTTTGGTTATGACTGTGTTGCTGCAGGATGTGCGTCAGGACGATTTGTATTTCTATAGAGGTTAGTGTTTCTGGCACTAGCGATATTAAATGTAACTTTTCTATATGAGTAGGTACTTTAGTTTGTAAGTTAATTGTATAAGATTTTATTATTCATAGTTGTCTTATATTGTTCAAAGAAAATAAACGAAGTTTTAATTTACTTGCCTTGGTTTCATTTCTGCCTCTTTCAACTAGCTATAACCCCCTACTTGGGTATACTATAATCGTCGTATCTTTAAAATTTTGATGGCTTCTTAGTAGATACTACATACGTGCTTCCTTTTTTATATTTTACTTAAATAGCACTTAACTGTCATTATAATAATTTATATTATAAAAAATAAAATAATTTTAATTTTTTTATATATAAAAATCTTGTAAAATGTTATGGAATTCTGTGGATCATAA